TAGCCTCGCGAATCATCCTTGGAAGGAATCGGTGTTCTTTAGCGAGGATCTGCGGTCTATCAAATCTGATGTAGTGACGGGGGCGATCCTGTACGTGTTCACAGACTGCAGACTTCCCGGAGCGTCGATTCTTCACATCAGCTATATGTTCTTTAATGAATTCTTAAATGTGAATAATAAACAACAAAAAACCTAAACAATGCCCTAAACGAAAACTTAATCCTAGATAAGTGATGGTCACCGTTTGGTGGTCTAGCGTCGGTTTGATTCATCACAGCTTCTTACCAAGCGGGATAAACATTACTGCAGATGTGTACTGTGAAGAACTCAACACAATGATGGAGAAGCTTGCACGTATCCAACCAGCTTTGGTCATTCGCTCGTCTCCGCTGCTTCTGCACGACATCGCGTGACTTCATACTGCACAGCAGACGGTCACCAAGTTAAAAGAGCTGGTGTTGGAAGCGCTCCATCATACGTCGTATTTTACAGACCTAGCGCCTACAGACTTCTAGTTTTCCAGAATTTGAATAATTTTTTGGTGGGAAAAAAATTCTAAGAAGCACTATAAAATACCTTTGGAAAATTTGTTGCCTCCCGTCCAGCTGATTTTTTTCAAGAATGGCATTAAATAAACTGCCACAGCGTTGGCAAAGATGCGTCAATTGGATTACTTTAATTAATAGAAAAGTTACAGCCTATATACGTCCCACTGCTGGGCACAGGCCTCCCCTCATTTCTGAGAGGGTTTTTAGGGCAAGGAAGTGTCCGCCGCGCTGCCCCAATGCGTGTTGGCGAACTTCACATGTCTTCGAAATATTTTTTTCTTATTCCTTAAACATGCAGGTTTCCTCACGATGTTTTCCTTCACCGCCGAGCACGTGGTAAATCAGCACTTAAAATTGCAATTAAAAATTTCATTGGTGCCGGCGGGGATCGAACCCGGGTTACTCGCGTTCTGTTATATTTACAGCGAGCGTTAACCATCTGAGTTACCACGGCTCTTATCTAATTAATAGATATAAAAATATTTAAAAGAAAGGCAATTTGAGAGGTAAAGATCTAATAAATTAGTTCATTGTCTGCAATGGACTTTTGTGAATAGAGAACTAAAGGCATTAAACCCGCTAATTGTAAACTTTATATGTAAAGATTCATGTATGGAAGTGAATGCTGGGCCGTCAAGAAGAAGGATGAAAATAGACTGCATGCGAATGAAATGAGAATGTTACGATGGATGTGTGGTGTGACAAGGATGGATAAGATAAGGAATGAGTATATAAGAGGAAGCCTGAAAGTAGCGCCAGTGGTAGAAAAGGTGAGAGGAAGCAGATTGGCATGGTTTGGGCATGTGATGCGGAGGGATGAAAGTCATGTCACAAAACGAGTGTTGAATATGAATGTGGAGGGACACACGGGCAGAGGAAGGCCGAATAAAAGATGGATCGATTGTGTGAAGAGTGATATGAGAATGAAAGGAGTAAGTATGGAAATGACGGCTGATAGAGAGGAATGAGGAGGAGGAAAAAAAACAAGAAGATTTACTGCGCCGACCCCAGATAATGGGAAATGGTTTAGAGAATGATGATATGTAAAGATTTTAAATAAATGTAATTCTAAAGCTTTGCTTCGACAATCAGCCATTGCCGTACATTAATCCTAACTCCTTTTCATTATTATCATTGCCATTTCAGTTAGTTTTATAACTGTTTATTAGCCCGACGTTGTAATAGCAGCCATTGCCGCTGGCTGGGTCAGATTTATGACGCCATATTGATGTTTGCCAATAAAACTGGTCAGGGCTTTCGGCCCGCCATCTTGGATTATATTTTATTGATTGTCAAAACGTTCCGAATTAATAAACCATTAATAGTTAATGTAACCTTTGATCCTTTATCTAATAAATATGATTACGTGATGGTTTACGCGGTAGAGCCATGCAACTGCATTATGATTGTAGCACGAATGGGTCGGCTCAACCAGGCGGGACAACTCTCTTACAGAATATTAGCGTAAAATAATAGCTGTGTTTCGTACGATGAGTGTAAACCGGAGTGCCTTTTCATTGGATGTTACATTCCATATTAGTCCTCAGGAGTGACATTTGCATTTTGAATGGGATAAACGTAGATATGTTTATGGGTCTTAGCGTTTACTTAATAGCAGGTGGACTGTAAGCTCGTTTGTCACCCTTATACTATAAAAAAATACGTGAAATACTGCTGCCATGTCGTGATGGCGTAATAGACACCATCTCCTCATTTCGTCCTATGTATGAGTATACAAATATTTATTCATAATATTTTATAGAATTAGGGTGACAAACGAGCACACAGTCTACCTAATAGTAAGAGCATACTGTGGCCCATAAACATCTTAATTTAACTTCGATTAAGAATCAAAATGCAGATACGTTGTCACCCTTGAGGACTAACACGGAATGCTTCGTTTCCAGTAAAAAGGGTCTCGGGTTCTCTACACTCACCAAACGAAACACAGCTGCATTGTACTGCTATATTACGCTAGTGTTCTGTGAGAGCGTGGTCCTTCCCCGGTCGAGCCGACCCATTCGTACTACAACCATAGTATAGACAACACATCTATAATATATATATATAAGCGACATACCAGTGATTCTATAAAATAAATAAATAAAAATTCTATAAAAAAAGTGACTGACTGACTTGAAATATAGTATAGTTTCTCATTTCGCAACGTACATGCTAGGAACTGATTTTACGATAGTCCAACCAAAAAACTCTTGATATTTGTTATAGTCTATCATTTCTAATTTTTATAAAATGGCGGCATGCCTATCTCATCTAAGGAAAGTTCCAGATTCAAAAGCGGCGAATGAACGAACTGGTTTTTTTTTGCAGTGCCGAGACGCATCTCATTAATTAGACGCAGGTGATTACTATTCTTGTCGCATAACAGCGAAAGTGGCGTTGTAAAAAAGTAGCATTGTCTGTAACGGGATCCCACGATCTCGCGATAGGAAAACCGTCTGTGGGAAGCAGCTGTCATCTGAAAGCGAAAGTACCACAATAGGCGCCATCTTGAATCCGGCAGCTGAATGAAGCGGTTTCGTAAGCTCGTTGGGATAAAAAAGTGTAGTTTTTAATTTGATTATATTATGAGAATGTATTGTTATATGTTGCATAAATATTATAACATATATTTCGAATGATATCTCGGTTAATATCTTTCGGTATTTTAGTTTAATATCTAAACTGTTGTCTCGCTCAATTGTCAGTGTACTTGCATAATGTTTTTTCTTTTAATGGAAGAGGAATCAAATAAACATACTGATCAGCTGATCATAAGTGAATATTCAAAATTATCCGCGCTGTGAGTGTTAGTTCATTGATTTCATAGAGAGCGTTACTTTTTTGTAGAAGAAGGGACAAACGAGCATGCAGCTCACCTGATTGTAAGTGACTACCGCCGCCCTTGAAGAATCACAACACCAGGGGAATTGCAGATGCGCTGCCGGCCTTTTAGAAAGGACTAAGCTCTTTTCTTGAGGGTCCCTAAGTCGTATCGGTCCGGAAAAGTCGCCGATGGTAAACAATTCCACAGAGAAGTTGTACTAAGTTGTAAGAAAACTCCTAGTAAAACGTACAATAGTGAACCTACAAGCATTCAGATGGTGAGGATGATATCAGGAATTTTGACGCGATTTGCTTTCGTGTAATTTAGTGGCTGGAACTAATCCGAACAATTCCTCCCATGGTAGATACGATAGAAAACGCAAAGAGATGCAACATCCCTACGCAGTGCCAGTGAATCAAGCCGATCAGAAAGAACTCGGTCGTCGACGATTCGAATCGATCTGCGCTGGATGCGGTCAAGTGTAAGGAGCTGGCACTGGGGTGTCCCGGCCCAAAGATGAGAACAGTATTCCATGTGAGGCTGAACTTGCGCTTTGTAAAGTTGCAAGCGATGTGCCGGCATGAAATACTGTCCCGCTCTGCTGAGCACACCAAGCTTTTTAGAGGCCAATTTGGCCTTCTCCTCCAAGTGACCATGAAACTGCACACTATTCGATATGTCGACGCCGATGATCCTGATGCTAGCTGGGGCAGCAAGGGGAGTGCCTTCCAACTGAGGAGATACGACGAGACTTTGTTAAGCAAGGACTCGACTTCAGACACAAGTTTGTCCTGGTACTCGGCAATGATTTCCCGAGAAGTATTGGCACGGCCGGTATATAAGACATCACCAGAGCTGTCGTCTGCATAGCAATGAATATTATCAGTTCGCAACATATCATTGATATGCAGAAGAAACAGCTTTGGCGACAGCACGCAGCCTTGTGGAACACAATGTCGCGCGCACATTGTTCGTTTCGTGCGCTTTTCAAACTCTTGATATCGGTTGTATATAAGCGGCGATGCCGGTCTACCGATTAAAATATCGGCCGACATATCGGTATCGGTATAGGAATCGATACATCCCTAATCTACATTTATCCTCGATTAAGAATTAAAATGCTTGCGTTGCCAGCCTTGAGGACTAAGATGGAATGCCTCATTTCCAGTAAAAAAGTTCTCTGGTTCTCTATATTTACGAAATACAGCAGCATTTAGCTGTTATTTTACGCTGGTATTCTGTGAGAGCGTGGTCCTTCCTCAGTTGAGCCGACCTATTTTTACTACAACCATAATATAGCTGCAGCATGTCTCTACCACGTAATAAAATACATTACACAAACATGTTGTTTGTGTAAATAATAAGTAAACAATACTGAAATAATATTGTTTAATAAGTAAACAATACTGAAATTGCGAATTATAAAACATCAAAATATATCGAAATATATCATCATCATTCACGTCCAACATCGCTTCGTTTCAAAAAAGTCATTTACCAACTTTTTACAACAGTCCCTACTTGGCACTGTTCTTACGTTTTCGGGCAAGGAGTTCCAGAGTAGTGTTGCCTGAATAATTATAAGAAATGCGTAAATATAAGAAATCATTGTATATTTATTTCAGAATGGGGTCCGAGAGTGCAACAGCAGTTCGGACGAGAACAGATCCTCGGGGCACGCCTCGATGTCGGACAGCGGCGGCGCTGACGCGGCCAGAGATGAGCCACGGCGCTCTCGCCAGCCGCCACACGCGCGTACCAAACACCGGCCACACAATAAGGTGACTAATTTCGCACATAATAAGATTTATTACGCAATATTGAAGGCAAGTCGCTCCCACTAGCTGTTATAAGCGCATCGAGCTTCGTCGACACAATAAAGTGACTTATCACGTAGACAATAGGGTTCAAACTTCATCATAGAATCCAAAAGCTGCTTCCACTAGCTGCTCGTACCACCGACCACGCAATAAAGTGACTAATTACGTATTCAAAAAGGTGCAAACTGCATCGTCTAATCCGAGTCGCCCCTGTCAGATACGAACCAAGGATTAATACGACTGGCTTTGTTGATTGATTCAGGAATCTTTTATGAATGGACATAAAGTTACCTATGTTAACAAGCGTTCAACGCGAGAATTTCATGTAAAGAATGCACCTTTCATACGTAGGACACTCAATAAGTTTTAATATATGCAAAAAGTATTCTAGGATACTATTAATATTTATTTTACATCTTTTGAAAATATTCTCCATCATGCCCTATACAAAGTTCCATTCGCCTAAATCAACTCCGAAAACACTTTAGCCAGTCTTGATCTGAAATCGCTTCTTCGTAGGTAGACACGCCTTCTTCGGCGCTTGACAAAAATTGCTTTTTATTTTTTCTTTGACTCTTGGGAATAAAAAGGAACCACGAGGAGCTAAATCAAGGCTGTACGGTGGGTGACTTAGAGTTTCAACACCAGATTCCAACTCCACTCCAACATGTTGATGTAGGATGGTATGAATGCTCCCCGAACTAATGCCTACAATCTTTTCGATGTCCGTATATGTGATTCGTGGGTCTTCTCGCACCAACATTTCAGTAGTCCATACATTTTCTGCCGTTACTGCTGTTTGCGGGGCCCCGGTTCTTTGGTCAACTCTAAGGCTAATTTTACCCCTTTTGAACTCAGCAAACCACCTAAAAATTGTTGCGCGTGATGGAGCTGAGTCCCCCAGTGCTGATTGTAACCGTTATAAACTTAATTCTTCGGTTAAAGCAAATTTAAAACCATAGTAGATCATAGCGCGCAAATATGCACGGTTAAGATCCATCGTTTCAAATGAAAAGCGCGGGAAGCGTTACAGGTAAATTAATAGAACTTTGTTTTTTTTTTAATATTGAGCAATGACTTATAGAGTTCTATTTTTAAATAAATTTACTTTTTAGAATCATATAAAACGTTCCATTTTTAAATTTCGAGCATCTCTAAACTTATTGAGTGACCTACGTATTATGCTTTAAAAATATTCCTCATTAATTCATTTCAGCGTATCAAAAGTTACATCACTAATGTATTGCCTCATACAAAGGATATTTGCCAAAGTTGCCTCACATTTGGCAAGCGGATGGGAAACGGAATGGCATGATATTTCGAAAAAGTATTTTGATTGTTTTGTATAGAATAAGGATGTCAAACGTGCGCAAAGTCCACCTACATCTGTTCTCAAGTAGGAATTATAATACAGATGAGTTGTTACGCTCGAGAACCTAAGATGGAATGCCTCGTTTCCAGTAAAAAGCGGAATCCCCCTTTTTAAAAAGGGTCGCCGATTCCCTACGATACCGAACGAAACAGTAGCGTTAAGCTGCTATTTTACGATTCTTAAACTTGTCCACCCCGTTCGAGCTGATTCATTTGTGCTGCAGTCATAATATAGGTGGCTCTACCAAGTAAAAAACAAATTAAAATGAATAGCGAAAAGAATAGGTAAGTATATTTTTGTCTTTTTTAAATATTTTATAAAGAAACTATGCTTCAGTTACAGTCGCCGTGGCCTGGTGGTGGAGGTCTGGAAGATATCAGATCTGCCATCAAGCAGTTGACTCTTCGATCCAGGGACAGCAGCAGTACCGCCACAAGCGGAGCATCCAGTGGCGGTGGAGGCAGCAATACAGGAGCACCAGGTGCTAACATCTTATTCTGTGATTTTTTTTAATTTATTTATTTACATTATTCTTTATTGTATTCCTTAAAACAAAATAATACAAGGGGTGGACTTAATGCCTTGAGGCATTCTCTACCATGGACCAAAAGTAATAATTAAAAATCTGAAGTTGCTCCGGGTTAACTTTGATATTAGGACGTCAGACACCTCAGTCCCCCGTGACCATGGATGCTGGGAAGCACCTGAAACATCTGGAAATAATGTAGTCTTATTCTATGTGTCGTGTACGCGTAAATATAAGAAATCATTATGGTTTTTTATGTTTTAATAGAATGCTAGCAACCCCGTGAGATTAATATAAGCCAGTTATTTTAATATTACACACAGACACATCAATTTTATTTATAGATATAGATGTATAGATAATATCCTTTACACTGAATTTTAGCCACTGCGGCCAGTCTCAACCTGACCAACGAGCTTAGTCCAAAGCTAACGGTTGTTGGTCTCGGATTCGGACCCAGGACCTGTATTTGTTAAATACTCTGACCACTATTAGCAAATAATACAATTTAGATTACATAATTTCACTTTTATTTTAATCTGTTCATGACTTACAACTAATTTTGAAACACTACTCGCTTGTTTCCCAAGCTTAAGGGCAACCCTCCGTACGAAGGGAGGTGGTGAATGCTCATAGCATACCACGCAGTCGGCTGCATGGTTATGTAGAGACTTACCCACTAAACCCCACCTTTTGGGTTTGCTTAACGATCTGACGAGAGATCTTTAAGCCGTAAACGGACGCAACCCTCCTTGGGAGAAAAGAGGGACCCGCTTGGGTCCTGATTTTATATTTCCAATTGGAGTCAAATCCGAAACTATTACAGTAAAAGTCTTACCGGAAATTCAACGATATAAAAGCGGACATCCGATTTACAATTATCAAAGTTAGATGTACATTTCAAAAGAATAACATTAAAATGAAAGTCTTAATTATTTTTTGCAAATAATTGCTAACACCACCAAGTGATATGGTCATCAGTAAGCATCAATCTCCATGTTCCAGACGGCGGAAGTGCAGCAGAAGCGCGAAGAAGACGAGCGCCGCTGGTGCGGCAGCCCTCGCTCGACACTGTCTGCACCAACGTGACCAGCGCTGACGAGTTCGTGTGGGTGGACTCGCACAACAGGTGTGCTTTTTATCTAACTTTTTCGCATAGGCCACAGCATCCGCTAACAACCAGATGGATTATGTGCCAAAAATAAAGAAGAAAAATTTAGGTATATAGATACATCTACTTTATCCTTGATTAAGAATTTAAATGCAGATATGTTGTCACCCCTGAGGACCAAGACGGAATGCCTCGTTTCCAGTAAAAAAGGGTCTCCGGTTCTCTACACTCACCATACGAAACACAGCAGCATTAAGCTGCTATTTTACGCTGGTATTCTGTGAGAGCGTAATTCTACCACTTCTTTCTGTCCTTATACCAAGTTATTTGGGGGGGTCAACATAGCATTTTTATTCTCCTCTATTAACCCTCATCTTTGCACTGCTTTCTTAAGGAACTATTTAACAACTAACATATTCCATCCATCTTTTATTATAACTCTTTACTTTGTATTCATCCGCTTTCATAACCAATTTTCTTCTTGTTAGATGGTTTACTTCCCTTCACATAAGAAATAGAAGGAGTAGTAAGAAATATGGACATACCATACCACGCTAGCCTATCACTTCTTAACTTTTCCGTGTCTGGGGCCATTTTCCAACTACCTCTAATAAATTCATCATAAGGGCTTTCATTACTTATAAAATTTACAGCTCATATACGTCTTTTTGTTGGGCACAGACTTCCTTCCATTTCTTAGAGGATTATAGAGCAGTTTATCAGCCGCGATGTTCCAATATGGGTTTGCGAACTTCACATGTCCTTAAAACATTTTTTCCTTAGACATTTATGTATTAAATAGTGACCCGCCTGCCTTCTACTACGTAAGATTTGTTGACGTTTTTATTAATGTTCCTAGTTCTTCTAATAAAATATAGCCCAGATCTTTTGGCTTCGCTCTCTATCTGTTTATTAAGTTTCGTTGCCATCGGTTCAGTCAATACGAACAGTAGCACGTACAGACAGAAAGGCAAAATTAAGAATTAGAAGAAATTAAAAACGATGTTCATGACCCAATCGCACGCAGATAACCCCCTCAACTTAATAAAAGGCAATTATTTCAATACTACATAGAAAGACATCAGTTATATTGTTGCGCGCCACAGTTGATGGCACTAGCGCCATCTGGTATCAAGTATCAGAAATAGTAGTGTCAAGATCTTTTTTAGAATAGAAGAATTAAGCTTTCTAGAAGAGTTCTAGTATAGGTTTTAGTGTTGGCACATGTTAAAAGTTTACAAAAGGCAAACTTATTGGCTGTAGATAATGTAATAGGTGCAATATAAGTAAATGCAGGTTCCCTCAAAATGTTTACCTTTGACGAATTAATAATTCTGATTAGATGCCGACAGGAATTGAACTTGGGTTCGCGTGTGAAATTTACAGCGATAACTCAGCCCCTGAGCTAACACAGCTATAATATCATTCTCCCATTTATTATTCTTAGTTTAAAAAAAACCTACCTAAAAGCATCTTAATTCTTAACGTTTTAACATTTGTTACAAAATCACCTTGTAAGCTGCGTAACAATAAGGTTGTGAATATATCCTTTTATAGCAATTTTTTAATTAGCCTAAGACTCAAGAAGGTGACTTAATCATCATAACAGCCCGTGGTAAAATAAACATAAAAATGACTTTTACTAAGTATTGTTTATAATCTATATTGAATAAAAAAATTTAGATTTTTATTTCTCCTAAAATCATCGGAACATAGGTCTGTCCATAGATTGCACGCTTGGCAGGTACCCACATGGCAGGCCGGTCTTTTTGTGTTGTTATCAGGAAGATGCTGCTTCCTGATGCTGTTTCTGTCGACATATATCGCATCTTACGACACTCTCGGGATGATATGGGGTATTGAGATGAGCCATACATACACGGCATACCACCTATATACATGAGGCCTATATTCGGCAGTGGATTTTAGTAGGCTGTAACGGAGCATACACGGCGCTAGATAATGATTTTATTTAATTAATTAATTTATTTATTTAAAAACTTCATTGCTCTAACCATAAAGGTTTCTAACCAAACAGGTTACAAAGGGCGGTTAAGTCAGTCAGTATTCTCTGCCGGTAAGCCCATGGCGTGATGAAAAATCAGTGGCAGGTGACCTAAATAAGAATGTCCGCAGAGTGACGTTATTGTCAAGAGGGTGTGATAACTTATTATTTTTATTTCAGACTAGTAGAGCTACGATGCGTGCCGTGGACTGCGAGTGAAGTGAGCCGCGCACTACAAAATGGCCGATGTCGGGAAATTGCGGCCAAAATGGCGCCAGATACTCCCCCGAGATTAGCTTACTTATTGCAGAGGTATTTTATAAAAAAAAAACCACTTTAATCTTAATATTATCTAACTCTATATACATTCTATAAACATTGAGAATAAACTCAAGCTAGATATACCAATTACTCGATTTCTCAAAACAATAATATTGTCTTCCAGACCGAATTTGAGCACGGCGGTCATTCTAAACGAAGACTAGTCATTTGCGCAAGATAGGATTATATTGACCGAGTGTATTCGCAAACATAGGTGCACTCTCTATTCGCTCACTTTCATAGTCCAATGGGACGGTAATCCGAAAAGACCGGAGAGAGATCAAGGCCCAACGGCTTTACATATGCTTTCCGAAGCACGGGGGTGAAACACCGCTGTGGTATTTCACCTGGTGTCACTGAAGTCACTTTCACCATCAGGTGAAGCGCATGCTCGTTTGCTCTATTTTATATGCATAAAAAGACATGCTATAATTATTTTTGTTTTCCTAGGGCGTTGGTGCGAATTGCCCGTGAGGCGCAACGCTTGTCGCAGAACTTTGGCTTCTGCTCCAAGCACGAAGTGGCGGGCGCTTTCAAAATTGTACTGAGCACGCCGCTGGCAGACTCTTGCATCAAAGTGAGTACATATGTTTTACAAAAAAATCACGTCTTTTGTAAAAGGCCAGATTCACTTCAAGGTCAAAGTGAAAAACAAAAAACCTAAAAGGATAAATTAATTGTATTCAATATGGATTACTAAATAATACTTATTGATAAAAAAGTATAAGCCACTGGTTCGGAAAACAGCTTTGTCCTCGGAAGAACCAGCAAAAAAACCAACGGGATTACATTTTTTGACATTTATAAATTTACTTTTTGTACAATATTTCTTTATTAAAACTTGTTAATTGACAAACTTTGAACATTTTTTTTTTGTTGCTCCACAAATGAATTACTGATTCAGTGGAGTCTAGTAACTGGTATTACAAGTTTATGTTTGTACCTGGTATTTAGTTTGGTGATGGGTTAAGGTTACCATGAATGTCAAACCAAAAAGAATGAGGATATCAGTGCAGTGCGAGGTTTCTACTTCATGGGTTGCTGACGACCGCACCGTCGTCAAATATATCTTAAGTAGTAGTAGTCATCACTAAAAAATAAAAAAATATAGTTATATATGTAGGTACTAAAAATATATATAATTATATATAAATATCTTTTGTGGCCTTGTTTTAAATAATGATGAATTGATCGCTCCAATACTTGGTTAATTTATTGTATATACCTAGATGGCCTCTGTTCACGGACTCTCTCTGTGCACTTAAAACGGGTTTGGTTAAAATTTACAAAGAATTTTTGTTTTTATTTTTTGAAAAATTACAGTGCCATAGGCTTCTATTCCGTTCACATGTTACATACTAATTTTTTTCCAGACGGTTAAAAAGATGATCCGGTTACAAGCTACAGTTAATATTTTATTGCAACTATCAGTACTTTTCAGCTTAAACGTGGAACGTATATAACATTTTGAGCCGTGAATACCTTTCTTTTTCGCAAGAGTTACCCCAAAATATTACGCCATATCATTGGCATGTTTCTACAGATAGTACGCAAATTGTCGCCAAAACTCCTCTTTTATAGAATAAGGGAGACATGCGAACACACAGTCTACCTGATGGTAAGTAGATACTGTGGCCTATAGACATCTACATCTATCCTAATGTTAAGAATCAAATGCAGATGCGTTGTCACCCTCGACGACTAAGATGGAATGCCTAACTTCTAGTAAAAAGGGTGTCCGGTTCTCTACACTCATGATATGAAACACAGCAGCAATAAGCTGCTATTTTACGCTGGTATCCTGTGAGAGCGTGGTCCTATCCCGGCCGAGGTCAAGGTCTAGGTCATTTTTAAATTTTCTATACCGCTAGTAAAGTGCGGTATTGTTTGCAGGGCTGCCAGCGCGCGGCGACTATGTATGCGACGTCGGGCAGCGCGGCGCGGCGGTTGGGCTCAGCGGCGCGCGCTCGCACCAGTCTCGCGCCGGGCCGCTTCCAGCGCTGGATGCTGGACGTGCGCGTCGCACCCTTCGTACATGAGTGAGTACGCACGCACACCGCAGTACAGACACAAACACAGCCTCGTGCCGGGCCGTTTCTAGCGCTGGATACTGGACGTGCGCGTCACACCCTTTGTGCATGACTGAGTACGCATGCACACTGTCACACAGACCAGACATGTAGGCTCGCTTCTGGGCCATTTCAGTGCTGAATGTTAGTTACACACCTCGCACTCTTTATAGGTGAGTGAACAAGCACACATGCACTTGCGTACAGATATAAATACATTGATTCGCTTCAAGACGCTTCCAGTGCTGGATGCTGGACGTGCTATTCGCAAAATTTGTGGATGAATGAGCAAGCACACATACGTGCACTTACACGTACCACACGCCCACATAAACATAAGGGAACACAAACAATCAATAAAAACCATTAATGACGATAAGCGACAGGAGCCAAATGGTAGGTGTGAACCGCGATCATTCGAGATCTGATACTTGGTTACAAATCCGCCATTTGACTAACGTCGTATATAACTTAATAATTGTAAACTTAACCCTAGAGGTTAACAGAAATAATGTCCTCCAGGTTCGCATTTCGATCACGGCGGCCAGTCTCAACGGAGACTGTATACGTAAGCCCGGGTGCACTCTCTATTCTCACACTCAACGGGTTAACGAGACTGATATTGATGTTCATTAACGCCATTGTATTGATGCCAGATACGCAGCTATCTACCTGTGTGCCGGCATGGAAACCCTCCTGGAGGAAATAGCCTTGATCGCAGGCAGCAGCTCAGCCTCCGCCCCTATCACGCCGGCTGTGCTGGATCACGCGGTCGCCAATTGCGCTGATCTGTGGGGGCTGCTGCAGCCATACAGCCATCTCAACGCCGGCAGGGTCGCCTCAGGTATGTCAGTCTCAATGCAGTAAAGAATAAATATAAGAAATACTCTTACGTGGTAGAGCCAAGCCACAGTCTAACTACTACTAACAGTCGGTCATCGAAGGCGTCTAGACGGGGCAATCGTGCGGTGCGGTGTGGGGCGAGACGCGGGTGGAAAGTTCCCGAGCGGCTGTTAGTAGCTCGAGAAATGTCCGCTGGGATTGTTCTGTCATGCTAATACATTAAAATGGTTCACACTTCATGTGCGGTAAAAAAACTGTGGGTCCTAACCTATTTTTATTATTTCTAAACACTAATTTTCAACAAAAATGGTAATGGTGAAATAAGATAAAATCAGTAGTTTGCTTAATGTTGCTGGGTTTCGTATGGTGAGCGTAGAGATCCAGAGACTCTTTTTTACTGGAAACGAAGCATTCCATCTTAGTCCTCAGGGGCGACAACGCATCTGCGTTTTGATTTTTAATCGATGATAGATGTAGACGTCTATGGGTCACAGCATCCACTTACCATCAGGTGGATTGTGTGCTCGTTTGTCATCCTTATTCTATATAAAAAAAATACTTTCCTAAACCCTAGCAATTTATTGTTTATGTCGGCTTTTACGACATTATCAAACTGACTGTCTGTTCTTCGTAGGCTATTTCCAAGCTGCAGATATATTATAGTTGTTGCACGAATGGGTCAGCTGGATCGGGGTAGAACCACGTTCTCGCAATATCAGCGTAAAATAGCAGCTCGATGCTTGCTGTGTTTCGTATTGTGGGTGTAGAGAACTGGATACACTTTTTAATGGAAACGAGGCATTCTATCTTGGTCCTCAGGGGTGACAATGCATCTGCATTTTGATTCTTAATCCAGGATAAATGTAGATGTCTATGGGCCACAGCATCCACTTACTATGAGGTGGAATGTGTATCATCATTATTCTATATTTTAAAAACCTCCCTAGTAAAAGGCGATGTATTATTTCAGGAGCGTTATCTTTGTCTCACTGGGAATCTATGAGCTCCCTTGGATCCGGTTCTTCATCAGGCGTGTCCAGACCGGAGAATCGACAGCTTGGGCTCAGTCACGATTCAGGAATAACAACCAACGGTTCCGGTTAGTAGAAATACAGGATTTGGATACAGCAAAAAATTGTCGAATTGTAGGAACACGCAATCAAACTTTTTATAAAGTTTCTAACACATGGCAGACAGATGTTGCAAAATGTCTATGATGTCTCATAGTTGCAAATTTTATTTCACGTATGACGATATACGAGTATTCTTAACTCTTCTTTAACTGTCAGCCATTGCAATTAGCAAGCTGAGCAAATTACTTGTTTGATAGACTGATATAGTTATCAGTGAATTACTTCTTTCAAATTTGTCATCCAGCTTGAAGGACCAAGCTATGTATGGATGGAATTTTGGAGGTTTGTTTAGTTAACTTTAACTTTATTGAAATTATTATATTAGGACCGACGCGACAGTTGTTAGGTTTTGTTTTCATCATAATTGTTAGTTTTCACCCGTTTTGCTTTTGGGATGTATCAATGGTATTCATTCCTTCATTCATTATAGTCTATCGCATCTTTTTTGTGGGTAGCAGTGAATAAAGTAACACGTTTCTTTTTTAATGTTAAATAATATATTATAAGAAAATATATAAAATAGGATATATTAATGTGTGTTACATACATGTAATAATTATATATCTACCAGCTTAAATTTCCTTATATATTCTTTTCCCCACTTTGATGAATTATCTCTACTGAAAATAACAATGGAAACACTCAAGGGATCACTAGCAGCCATGTCAGAACTATTCAACTCTCGCATGAACGAATTTCAACGGGACTTAGAGAAGACCACTCCAACATTTGGCACAAACCCTTCGGCACTGGCAGCTGAGTTTGCAACTTTTAGGAAGTTCATCTTATCCGCTCTCGAAACAGTCCAGAAACAGGTAGAATTTCTTGGAAGAGAGATTGATCGTCTGGAGATGAGACGCCGACGTAAGATATTCCTGCTCCATGGAATTGCGGAGGATAAGACTAAGGATACATCTATACTAGTCTCTTCTCTCTTAATGGACAAACTCAAAGTTTCTGATGTATCCCACACTTCTTTTAGTAGCTGTCATCGCCTTGGACGTTTATCAGGAAAGAAGCCAAGACCGATATTGGTAAAGTTTCGTGATGTTGCTGTTCGTAACCAAGTTTGGTTTTCAAAAACCAAACTCAAGGGCACAGGTTGTCACAATATCCGGGGTCAGGCCTAGTATTCATGGAGGCCAGGCAGAAGATTCGGCATAAGTAAATGCTGGACCAGAGATGGTTGTATCCACATTATAGCTCCTGACGGCACGCCTCACCAAGTTGAGTGCATGGCAGAGCTAGAAGCCGTACCAGTAGTTTCAGCAGCCGCTTCGCAAGAACAGGTGGCAGCCAGTGGAGGAAGTGGATCTAACAAAGTTATCCAACGCTCTAAGAGATTAGCGAAGAAGTAGCATAATGACTCATTAATTTTCTTATCAACAAAAATCGTATGTTAATTTCATAATTTTTCATGTCACTTTATTGTATTTATCTTTTCTTGTTAACAATTTTTTTCTTTTTATTTCACTTGTTTGTTAACATCTCCTTTATTAAAAAGTAAATAAAAAGTAATAATTTAACAAATGACAATGCCGGTAGATCTTCACCACTTTGACGTTTGATTTTAATTGTAATTGCTTTGTTTTGCTTGGACCGACATCTTGTACTAAAAGTAACGTTGGCATTTGTGCCACAGACTAACTATATTTGAGCCCACAGTAAACGTCGTAGAATGTTTATAATTTTTTTTTTCTTCATAGAACAGTATTTTAAATTTGGTTGTATATTAGTGTTGCCGGTATAGCATTTATAATTTTATATTTAATATAATTTATAAAATAAACTTCAGAATTTCAAGTGCTATATGTTACAAAATTATTCTACCGGTATACTTATTATTCCTTGGTTCGTTTTTATTCACTATATTACTTTCGTTGTCATATTCATTTTGTATAAACGCTGGTAGGTAATGAATGTCTGTAGTACAGGTTTAGTTTAATAATTTTTGTTTTTGGTTTTGTTTTAGCGCTTTTAGTTTAAGTTTTTTTTTCTTTTTTATTTAATTAGTTTGTAGTTTTTTTGTTTTTATTTTGGAAAAATAACATGTCTTTAGGTGAGAGTGATCATAATCAAAGTTTCTCATCCTTCTCTTCAGCATCCGATGTATTGAGTAGTAACGACAGTTTTGTAAGCGTACCATCTTTAAAAGAAACTCTTGACTCCCATTTTATACAGTTTTTCAAAAATTACAATATTGTGCGTATAAATGCACAAGGTATTCCGGCTCATTACCCCGATATGCTGGCCAGCTTTAATGGTAATAACATTCATGCAATTTTAGTTTCGGAATCATGGTTAAAACCATGTCTGCCATCTGTTTCCTATTCCCTTCCAGGATTCCACTTAATACGCAACGACCGGACTGTTCGGGGCGGTGGTGGTGTTGCTGTTTACCTTCGTTCTTATATTCTACTTTCTATTGTTCGTCTATCACCTCAATCTCAAAATCAGAACGAAGTGGAATACTTATTTATTGAAGTTCACCTGTCGCACACTAAATTACTTCTTGGTGTTTTTTACAGCCCTTCTTCAGTTGACTATTTTACAACATTGGATAGCCTCCTTGAAGAGCTTACTCCAATTTACACATACACTGTGTTAATGGGTGACTTTAATATCTGCCTACTTAAAGAAAATGCCCGTTCCCGTCGGCTTAAATCTCTGGTTGAAGCAGCTAATTTAAATGTTCTTCCCCTTTCTGAAATTCATTCTTTTTCCTAACTGCATCCCTTCTCTCCTTGATTTGGTTATTGTTTCTTCTCTCGACTATGTTGAAAAATATGGTCAATGTGCTGCTAATGCCTTCTCATATCACGATCTTTTATTTCTTTCTTATAAAATAAGACCACCTAAAGCCAAATCAAGGATACTTCTGCAGCGTAATTTTGTGGAAATGGATTTAGACAAATTACGAGAAGATGCTGTGAATACGGATTGGAGGGCTGTAACAAACGCTTGTACTGTTGACGAGCAGGTAGCAGTATTTAACTCGCTCCTTATTAAGATTTACGATGTACATGCTCCTGTTCGTCCAGTTCGTGTACGCCATCCTCCTGCCCCATGGTTAACCGAAGACCTTAAGAAACCTATAGCGAAAAAGAATGCTGCAAAGACCAGACACAAATCAGATCCTACAAATGACATGATTCGGGAAAAGTACAGGATCCTACGTAATCAATGCAACAAGTTGTGTAGAGACTTACGACGACGCCACATCCATAAATCAGTTCAAAACGAAGATCCAAGCCATGTTTGGAAATTCCTCAGGTCTCTTGGAGTTGGGAAATCACATTCAAGCTCGATTCAAAATGATATAGATTTAAATTTGCTTAATCAGCACTTTTCTTCTGCTTCTTGCACCGATAATTTTGCAAAGTCAATTACAACTCAACTTTCAACGTTAGCCACTCCTGACTATCCTCCATTTGTGTTTAAGCAATTTGCAGATTGTGATGTTAGGAGAAACATACTCTCTATCCATTCTGACGCTGTCGGAAGTGATGATATCAGTCGTAAAATGATTATATCTTTACTTGATATATTAACACCTATTATTACCTTTATCCTAAATTTTTCTATATCCACATCCTCCTTCCCTTCCCAATGGAAATATGCCCAAATCATTCCTTTGCCCAAAAAAGCTAATCCTTCGAGTTATTCCGAGTATCGTTCCATTTCAATTTTTCCTTTTCTGTCCAAAGTCCTAGAACGTCTTGTGCAACAACAATTAAATTCATTTTGCACAAGAAATGATATCCTCAATTCATATCAATCCGGATTTAGGTCGGGACACAGTACGACCACAGAATTATTAAAAATCACTGACGATATACGTTTCGGAATGGCTAACCGCCAAGTCGCAGTAATGGTGTTGCTGGATTTCAGCAATGCCTTCAATGTTGTAAATCATGATATACTAATTGGTGTACTGCGTTCTCTTAACATATCTCCAACTGCAATTGCCTGGTTTCGTAGTTACTTATATGGACGTCGCCAACGTGTTCGGGTACAAGACAGAATGTCTTCGTGGCTTGATACCGTTGCTGGCGTTCCACAAGGTGGCGTGTTATCTCCTCTCTTATTCATTATTTTCCTTCTAAATCATCCCTCCTCCTTTTATGTATTCCTGTCGTTTTATGATCACTAGTCTGTCAATTAAGTAAATTCCGCATGTTTATTAAATTTCTTTTATATTTATAGATTACAATATTATTTATAGTGCACTCTACCCATTACTTAACTTTTCACTTATTTTTATTTCCTATTTAGGTTATCTGGAAGAAATTGCTGCATAGCAATAAGACCGCCTTTTGTTTTCCTCTTTGTTTCTTGTTATGTTGTATTTTTTAGTGTTCAATAAAGGGTATTGTATTGTATCGCAAGTGCGTTGCTGAACATAAGCTTCTCCTGTAGATTTCTTGTAGGAAGAATATCTGCCATAGTTGGCCGGATCAGGAAGATGCCATTGTACACCTCATGTTTAGTTTCCCTCTGTCACCTCATATTGCATTGCCAGCCAACACGCATATGAGATGATATAGAGTACATATTAGATTTTCGATCTCGATGATACGCGATGCCAGCCAGCTTGCAGCTTGTCCGTACTGATGTTGTTATTTAACTCGCCAGTGTATAGGAAACGACGAGTCGCGAGTAAAACCGTTGTGTTCTTATCGCATGTTTATGATTCGTCTGTTGATCGGGGCCTTTACTGGTGGTGAATTTAGTTCTATTTAGCAGGTTAGGACATATCAACATTTAGAAAACCAGATAAATTACAGTATGCGAGGCATTCCATATTAGTCCTTTTAGGTGACAACGCATCTGCAGTCATCTTTGTTTGAAGTTAGCTGCAGGTGTCAATGGCTGCAGTAGCCACTTACCATCAGGTAGTCTGTAAGTTTGCAAGTAACTTCAGTTTTTTTTTTAAAGAAATCATAATCAGACAGGGCAGAATCATTACAGCTCGTAATAAATATGTAATGATTTTACGTAACTTGTGTGTGAGTTTTGAGCACATCGGGTATGTAGCATTCTCATTGGGATCATCACAGCATGATAAATGCGTTTTGTCATGTGTGTCGTGTATGAGCATTGGGCACGTTCTGTGCATCCGGTTCGTCGGGAGCATCGGACATGTAGTATACTTGTTGGGATGCTCACAGCTCCTTATGACTCCTGATGAAAGCGTGTTGTGAGGTTCTTGGATCGATGGATCGTCACAGTCCATGATCAATGCGTGTTGTAAGTTTTTAAGGTAGATAGTGATGGATGATTTATTCGTGTCATAATGTGACTTGTGTAGGAGGTTCGGGTACTTCCGGCGCATCCGGCGGCAGCTGCGGCTTGTCCGGTGCGTCCGGCGCGTCGGTGCTGCTGACGACGTGCGCGGGCTCGCCGGCCGAGCTGCGCGCCGTGCTGCGCCGCGTGCAGCCCGCGCTGCCGCCGCTCTCGCCCGCCGCAGAGCGCGCGCTCTACTACTACATGCGATGCTCTCAGGTACTCAGCGCCATCTTGTTTTTATTTCATTATTTCTTAATAAATTAAACTAATTTCACGGATTTTGTCGCGTTTAATTTTAAGTTTTTCAGTTTCCAACGTTTCGAGTGCTTTACAGCACCCATTATCACAGGGGTGTTTGACGTCCCAATATCATAGTTAGCCCAGCTACCTTCAGTTTCTGAATATTAATTTTTGCCTAAATGTAATTTACAAAAACTAAGGAGCCAGTGAAAAAATAATAAGAAAACATATTCGTTAGTTTGCAAACACAATAATTTATAGAATAATGCATTTCTAACTGTATATACCAATGTATATGTATATACCAACCTGTGCGTACCAATGCATTTAAACATGTAGGTACCTATATGTAACACCTATGTATAAGGCCTTATTAAAAAAACATTTTTCATATATACTTAAATTACTTTTGATGCGGCCACAGGCTGTCCCTTCGAATCTGAGTCGAAGAATCAGAAATTGTCGCGCTACTGACTAAATTTATATCCGGAATGAAGGGCCAGAAAATGGTGACACGAATGGTTCCTGGGTTCGAATCCGAAACGGATGGTCACTAAATGGTTAGGTGACTATGTTGTCCTTCGTATCCGGATCGAATAAACCTGAAATAGTTAGAGCTAAGGTCCCGGGTTCGATTCCCGGGTCGGGCCAAGATCTATTATGCGAGATTTTACTATGTGTGGGTGTGTATGCGCGGTTCTCTATAACCAATGCAAGATACCGAAAAACAAAAAAAAGAACAGGTCGGAACAGTCGCGCCACAGAACAACCAAGTAGTGCAATCAAATCTAGCATTAGTCTTCGACTACTCGGCGTGGCGGCGGCACGTCGACAACAACCGGACGGCCGGTGGCGTATTTTCAACCTTTCACTTTACGGCCAGCGGGTCTTATTGGTCACCCAAAATGACAGTGCAGGAAGGATGCGGAGGTGAAGAGGGAGAAAATACTACCAGCTAATATAATCTACAAAATATGTGCTTCGGCGTAACCAACTTTATAATATAAGGGCGACAAACGAGCACACAGTCCACTTGATGATAAGTGGATGCAGTGGCACATAGATATTTACATATATCCTAGATTAAGAATCAAAACGTTTTCAGTTTCGGATTTCTGGTTCTCTACACTCACCTTACGTAACCACAGCAGCATTGAGGTGCTATTTTACTGTGGGAGCGTGATCTTTGATCGAGCCGACTCACTCGTGCCACAAATATAATATAGCTGCAGAATGGTTCTACCCTACCTAATAATAAGAATAAGAATCTGATTGTATAAATGAATTTAACCCCTCAGCCGCCAGTTAAAATGACTAAAATCGCTCGCTCGCTTTGCGTGACGCAGCGTTGCCTAAAAATAACCTAACCTTGAATTTGTCGTACATTTATTTTCAATAATATTCATTATAAATTTCAATATAATACTTGTTTCTGTTTATTTATTATGTTATATTACTTGTTTTAGTGCTTTTACTTCATTACAAATAGATTTTAATCGTATTTTCATAGTTAAAAATGTACTTACCCAGCACATTACTCGAAATTATTTACGTAAAAAAGATAATTTATATTTAAATAAAAACTGTGAAACTGTCTCATGAGACCGCTAGGGATTTGACGAAATATGGCCGCGGTCGCATGCGACCGCTTGGGGTTTGAAGGTTAAGGAACATTTGTGTGTGTCAGCTGGAGCACTCGAGTACGAGCGGGGCGGGTGGAACGGGCAGTGCGTGCGCGGCGTGGGGCGCAGCGCTGTGGGGCGAGCGCGGCGCGGGCGCGCTGCCGCCGCTTGGTGAGTGGGTGCGCGCGGCGCGAGCCTGCGCCAGCCTGCGCGCACCCATCGCGGTGTGCGACGCGGACGACGTGCGCCAAGCCGCGCGGCTGCTGCTGCCGCATGCCGACTGTCCGCCACGGCCCGTCACGTGAGTACACCTGCAAACACTATATTCGCTAAGGTACGACCATACAAAGTTTCAGCAGTCACTCATCGCAATTCTTTCCTTGTACAGTCGTGTTGTTGACGAGTTTTTCGTTGTGTAGTGGTTGTGTTGTTGGTAAAGGGTTGGGTTAGTAGTGACGAATATGATGGAGTGTGTATCGCCGCAGTGTGCAACGCAGATGACGTTCGTCAAGCCGCATGACTGCTTTTGCTACATGTCGACTGTCCACCTTGACCCATCACGTTAGTACCTGCCCACCAATACCGTTACCGTTACAGCTTATTGAAGTGTACTGCTGAACATGAACATCCCCCACAGATTGCCTCATAGAAGGGATATTTGCGATAGTTGTCACGCTTGGTAAACTTTTTTTTTAATTTTTTGTTTGTTACTAAGAAGATACTGCTGCCCTTGTCCTGATTTGTTTCCCCTTGCCACCTCTTACGAATCCCACGGAATGATATGGGGAAATAGATGTTCTTATATTAAACGATAAACCTGTCTTTTACCGGTCAGATACGATGAAGTATCAGCAGTCAATCTTCTCAGAGTATATTACTTACGCCTTGTTTATGAGCAAAACATGTTGTTTTATCGACTTCTTTCCTAGTTAGTGGTGATATTGGGAATACCCAACCAAAGTGGTTTTTTTTTCGTATATTTAGTTTTTAAGGATTTTATCGCGTATTACCTTTTTATGTTACCGACGTTTCGAGCACTTTACAGCACCCATGGTCACGGGTGGACGAGGGGGGGTTGAGGTGTTATTACGTCATATGACGTCATAGTTAACCGCGGTTTCCTATGACATTAGATACAGACATGTAACAGCACTGGCCTATACTATATTGTATATAATCACTATATGGTCTTGCGCACTTTATTCGATTGCTGTGTGTATCGTTAGCTGCTGTTTCACACACGGACTATCTGCTGTCAGTTCACCATACCGACACGAATTAGTCAGTTCTTGAAAATCATGTCCCATCATTGCCCATTACGTATCACGTTAAATACTCCATCTAAACCATCTCTAGTTACCTGAACGAAATTCACTCACTTTCTGCTGGGTATTCCATCACCAGAAAGGCGTATCCTAACACTAACAAAATTGGTTGCGGAGTATTCTGCTACTACCACTGTGATGATTCGTGTATACGAGTATAAAATGCAACGTGTCTTTTTAATAGAATAAATATAACCAACACAGTCTCCCTGATGGTAATTGGATGCTGCAGTCCCCAAACGTCTATATCTATCCTAGATTAATAATCTAAGTGCAGATGCATTGTTATCCCCGAGGACTAAAATGGAATGCCTCGTTTCCAGTAAACAGAATGTGCAGTTCTCTACACTCACCATACGAGACACTACTGGTTTTGGTCTTTTTCTGATCCCATCCATGCTGCAGCATGGATTTACTACGTACCAGTCTTAGCTGTCGTGTTTTACAATCAAACTGAAAGACTTTGAGAATTTGGTGACTGAAGGTTAAATTGCCATTTTTGCATAACAGAACAGAGGAGGAACTGGAGCCGTCCTGGTCCCGATGCTCCCGCAACCCTGAGGAGTTGAGCCGGGCAGCGTTGTCCTTGGCGCACCGCGCGCTGCTCACAGGAAGACCAGAACTGATAGGAGGCGCCCGCGCGCTATTACCACCGCAAGGACTGGACACTCCTGACAGCTCAGGACTTACAGTGCTGATGAAGGCAGCGCTTGCTGGTGATGAACACGTGGTCGCTGTAAGTAAACGAGTAAATCGATTACATTGTGTCAGTTACTCAAAAGACGCTTCTACCGAGGGGTAACGGCGTATGAGAATGAATTATCCAATCAATTATAAGTCTACTAGATGGTAAAACTTATTTTTGAAGTCTATCTGAGAACGGTCTTCTTATGTGTTTCTGCCGCCTAATAGTGCTTGCATTGCTGTGTTCCTGTCTGAAGGCTGTAGAGAACCAATATAAGTCTCTACAACTTGGTTCTCAGTTCTCATTTTTTTTCTATCGAGAAAATTTTACGGAAAAATATGGTGTTTTTGTCTAACATAAACCTTAACATTAATCCTTAACTTTACCGTATATTTATTTCAAAATTAATGCTACAATATTTTCGGCATAACGGAGGATCTTGCTAAGCCATTTGAGGTAGTACAGGCCCTTAATGCTGCTGTCTTTTGTATCGCTGCTATTTTACATTAGTATTCTGTGAGAGCGAGGTCCTTCTCCAGGTAGAGCCTAGAATATAACTTCACCACGTTAAAATATTTATTTCAAATAATTTTTAATAAAAACTAATAATTACAGTACGGAACTCATTAATACTATGAATGTAAGAGAAGAAGAGGAAAAGAGTATACGGAAAAAAAATTACATAATTATGTTGAAAAGCTAGTGACCACGCTGAGCGGGTGGATTATAGAGTACAGATTCGATAGCCTTGCTCAGGTAACGGGAAAAGCTCTACTTTCATCCCAGTATGCCGGTTTCGGGTTTGAAATGTTTTTTTTGGATTTTTTATTATCTTTACATTTTTTCTTAAGGTGATTGCGTGCATTAAGAAAAAATTATATATTATACGTGATAGAGTCACGTTGCAGCTATGTTTTGGCTGTAGCACAAATGGATCGCATAGCAATAGCATCTTAATGATGCTGTGCTTCGTATGGTAAGTGAACTGGAAACGAGGTACCACTTACCATCGGTAGATTGTGTGCTCGTTTGTCACCCTTATTCTTAAAAAAATATCCATGACTGCTTACATGATAATATAGTGGTGTAGCCGTGGAAGGAAAAGGGGAGATCTCCCGCCGAGCAAGGTGTTGTGCCCGGGGAGCGGCCAACGCTCCGTGTGATAGGCCCGAAGCAAATATGGGCACCCCGGAAAGCGGGGGAGGGAGGGGGATGCTTAAACACCACCTCTCACCCAAACCAACTCTTAACATCTCTACACAAAAGGAGGCCAGGTGTGATAGTTCGGAGATGTTCTATATATACTGTATATGATTCGGAATGTTGATAGCGTGATTTAGGCTTCGGTGTGTTTCGCTTGCGGCGCGACGACAGCGCCGCCACAGTGGCTATTTACTAAAGTGCCCTCATCTCTTGTTGCAGATGCTACTGGAAGCGGGCGCGGACCCCAACGTGGAGACGGTGGGCGCGGCTACGCATCACTCGGCGCTACTTTCCCCGCGCTCCCCCCGCAAACTCCTCGCAGCACCCCACAATCTAACCCCTCCAGTGGATACACACCTCCCACTGCAGGTCAGTTTATTACACAATTTTCTTCTAAACTAAATTATCTTCGAGAAAACAAATTTGGGTCTTCCAAAGTGTTCGGTTTACATCGAACACATTTTGTACGCGTCGGCATTTAACACTAAACTTTGTATTTTTAGCCAGTACATGTACGGACGTCAACAAAGTCTCGTCCTAACATTGTAAACATTTTAACAATAAATATTTTTTAAACATTTAAACAATTATATTTTAACATTAACATCAAAAGGTGTTGAACTCCACAACATCTTTTTGGTCCTTCGAAAGTGAAGTGTCAGTGTGATTTTTCGGTGATAGCGAATCGGTTTGTCTGGCCTCCCAGAAGAAGGTCTCACCAGGTAGATTGAGAAGGCGCATATATCGCTGGAAGTTCATCGTCACACGGACCGCAAACAGGAATAAATCAGTTCACTTAACCCCTATCGAATACCTTTTAACTACAAAACCATGGAAGACTTACAAGCAAATCAACAACAGATGGTTTCTGGTACGGAGCAGCTGCTCAGCAACTTTAAAAAGGACGGCGCCGACCGCAGGACTGCTGCTCATATCAAAAAACGACTGGACACTTTGGATACTTACTGGCAGGAATTTCTAAAACTTCACCTCCAGGTACGTGAGTTGTGTGATGAAAACCATTCCTATATTGTGCAGAATCAATACGGACGCGTTCTTGATTTTTATACAAAAACAAAAGACTACATACAAACTTTCTTACCAACTGAAGAAAAATCAAAACCCTCTACTCCGATCACTAAACTAGCAACTTTCAACCCCCCGCCGTCCACGTCGTCGGCAACACCTCGACAAGTGGACCGCAGTTCTAATAGCAGGCTGGATGAGATGTTGCGTAAACAAAGTATCAACTTTAGAGCTTTTAAGCGAACTTTAGCAAACATTGACCTCGATTTGTTAACCGATAACTGGGAATTAGAAGATGCTCTGAAGACCTTGAGTGTTAGGTGGAACGCTATCGACTCTCTCCATTGGGAGCTCGACAGCGAGCTGGAGGGTACTAACGTAACATACGAACAAGAATTTTCCATCCATGAGAAAAGCTTTAGTGACATAAAGAAGGCGATCAACAGGAAAATATGGTCGACAGCTCATCAAGAAAAATATACACCGAAGCTTGATATTCCTATCTTCAACGGGAATTATCATCAATGGGTTCCGTTCAAAGATTTATTTACGGAATGCATTCATAACAATCGCTTCCTTTCCAGTGCTCAAAAAATGCAATTCTTAAAGAGCAAAGTCAGGGGAGAAGCGGAGCGGCTGATACAACACCTACAGATAAGCTCGGATAATTATATTATCTGTTGGAACATTTTAAACAACCGATACAATAACCCGAAACTTATATTCACTTCTAATATGAATCTACTAATGAGTTTGCCACAAACCACAACCACAACAGTTTGAAACCACAATAGTTTTGGGCAAAATTATAAAGCCTTCATTCACGAATACCTAGCGCTTGGACATTTGAAACCCGCCGATTCAGTGGGTCGACTCGAATGTTATTTACCACACCACGGCGTAGAACGACCGGAATCCACAACTTCAGCCTTGCGGGTAATGTTCAATGGCTCATGCAAGACTTCAACAGGTTCGAGTCTCAATGATGTCATGTATGCTGGTCCAAACTTACAAAAGGACCTTCAGGAACTGTTGATCAAGTGGCGATAGTTTGAGATAGTATTTACGGCAGAACAGCATAGAAAAGATGTTTCGCCAAATATTGATGGATCAAGACGACCAGCTTCTCCAAAAAATAATATGGAGAGATTGTCCAAGTTCTGCATTACAAGACTTTCAGCTATGCACAGTCACCTATGGCACTAAAGCTGCCCCATTTTTGGCCATGATGACGCTTAAACGATTAGCAAACGATGAACGAAGGAATGATTACTCCACCGCTGCACTCCAGGCCCTAGAAGAAGCCATGTACATGGACGATCTTCTTTATGGAGCCCATTTTATGACGTCAGCAATGGAGCAGAGCAGTTACAACAAGAGCTGATTCGCCTGCTTCAGTCAGGAGGATTCAACTTAAGAAAATGGAATTCCAACAAAGAGGAACTACTCGACATCAACAAAAACCAAGACAACAAAAATTTTGATTTTAAACATGCACATTCATCGAAAACACTTGGACTTAGCTAGATTTCTAAGCAACATGTTTTCACATTCCAATCGAAAATCAGTGACTCAGAGAAGAAATGTACAAAGCGAAGTCTTTTGTCAGAAATTTCGAAACAGTTCGATCCAATTGATTGCTCCTATAACACTGAAACTAAAACTTCTCTTCCAAAAGGTGTGGCAGCTAAATCTTCAGTGGGATGACGAACTATCCGAAGAAATCCAAGTAGAATGGATAAACATGAAACATGATATCAAAATGATTGATCAATTACAAATACATAGATGGTTGGGAACAAAAGAAAAAGGCCTAGTCGAATTGCATGGTTTCTGCGATTCGTCAGAGAGAGCATTCGGCTGCGCCATATATTGCAGAACAAACAAGGATCATTATTCAATGGTGGTGTTAGTTGCCGCCAAAACCCGACTAGTACCTATCAAAAAGCCCATCACTATACCAAGCCTCGAATTAAATGCCGCGATTTTATTATCAAAACTAATGAACAAGGTTGTCAACTGTCTAAGTACATATAACATACAAATCTTTGGTTGGTGTGACTCAACTGCTGTACTAGGCTGGTTACACGAAGACGCTGCACGATGGAAGCCGTTCGTGGCGAACAGGATCAAACAAGTGATCACCACCATGCCCCCTGCCTGTTGGCGCTTTGTGAAGTCAGAGGACAATCCAGCCGACTGCGCCAGCAGGGGCTTAACAACAGCACAACTAAAGGACCACCCGCTTTGGTGGCAAGGGCCCTCTTGGCTACTTACATATAAACAAAACGTCGAAAACAAACCTATATATACAACAAACGAAGAGGAAAAGCAAGTTTTAGTAGCTCAGAAATCAAAGGAAGGAGAAGAAATTAACATTTTACAGCAACTAATAGAAAAACAAAGCTCAATTACACGCTTAGTAAGAATATTGGCATGGATTATACGAGTCAAAAAAGATAAAACTAAACAGAGGCAGCCCTACCTAACATTATCAGAGTTACAAACAGCGACTAATTTATTAATAAAACATGTGCAATCAGCTGAATTCAAAAACTATATCAATAGTATTACGCAAAATAAAAAAGTACCTAAAAAGAGCACATTATCAAAGTTGAATCCATTCATAGACAGAAATGGCATCTTAAGAGTAGATGGCAGATTAGAATTCGCAAATATCACATATAACATGAAACATCCAATAATTTTGCCGAACAAAAGCCGTTTTACACAATTACTTATTGAGAGCGCGCATAAGATTACATTTGACGGCGGCGCGCGATTGACGTCAGCTTTCATTTGAAAATACTGGATTGTTGGCGGAAATCGAACAATTAAAAGGTTATTAAGCACCTGTGTAACCTGCCGTCGTTACGCTCCCTGCACACAACCACAGATCATGGGTGATATGCCTGAAGCCAGGACAAACCCCTCCCGTCCTTTTTATCATACTGGAGTTGACTACACGGGTTACGTGGACGTCAAGGCAAGCAAGGGTCGAGGCATAAAAACAAACAAGGGCTATGTGGCTGTATTCGTGTGCATGGCTACAAAGGCCGTGCACCTCGAACTCGTGTCTGACCTCACATCGTCAGCATTTTTAGCCGCACTGCGTCGTATGGCAGCTCGTCGAGGCGCGCCGCGTCACATATATTGCGACAATGGCACTAACTTCGTCGGTGCCAGCCGTGTTCTGGGACAAAACATAAAGCTGATTAAAGAAAATATTTCTGATCCAGAATTATTTACAGAACTTACCAAAATGGAGATCGAATTGCACTTCAACGCTCCGTTTTGGCCGTCAGCGGGAGGAGGACTCTGGGAGGCTGCGGTCAAGAGCCTTAAATATCACATCAAACGTGTTATCGGAGAACAAAAATTAACATTCGAAGAGTACTCAACGATACTTACTCAGCTGGAAGCGTGCCTTAATACTACGCCGCTGTTTGCTTTGACTGATGATGTGGAGGACCTTGACTTCTTGACACCTTCGCATTTCTTAACTAGAACAGCTGATGTAACCATCCTGGAAACAGAACATGACGCGCGAACAAGATGAAACTTAACCGAAAAACTAATGGCTGATATATGGAAGCGCTGGAAATCGGAATACCTCACACAACTTACCGTTCGAAACAAATGGAAGCAGTCGACATCTAACATTCAAGTCGGTCAATTAGTGACAATTCAAGACGATAACTTACCTGCTGGAAAATGGTTGACAGGTCGAGTGATAGATTTACACCCAGGAAATGATGGTTTCGTTCGAGTTGTCTCCTTGAAAACAAAACACGGAATTTTAAAACGGCCAGTTACCAAATTATCCAAACTGCCATTGCGAGGAAACCAGGAACCTGAAATCAGAAAAAACAAGATAACAGCTAAATCAAGTCTGATATCAATTTGTGCTGCATTGCTATTTTTCTTGAGTATAATCATACCTACGCATGGTGCTCATACTATTCAGCAACTTAATCAATCTTTGTATTTCGACGCCATTTCCAACATCCATATGTGAAACAATGAAGGGCGACAGTCCCTGTGATGCGGTCCTATTGCAGGTACGTCATAGTACCAGTGAACTCGAGGACTACAACCGCATGTTGCTAGGTAAACAAACCGACAGACGAGGGCTTATCATGGTGTCGGGTGTCTCGCGAACAGTCTCTTCGGAGTACTCGACGACCATTTCGCAGAAAAGTATGAGCGAGATATCATACTTGTCAGACTGAACGAACATCATTTGGCTTCCCTGTTCAAGAACCAAACGTCTATAATCGAAGTAGGAATACAACATGATGAAAAGAATGGAAGAAGTTATGAGAAAACAACACAAGATTATTAACAAACAGATTAGTGCCTCAGACAGCAACATAAACAAAGTAAGAACAGAATTAGAAAAACTTCACATCCTTTTGTTGCGATAGCAGCTATATGCCTTGCCTGTAAACGACTACGGCAAAGAAGAAACACGGCCATCACTTCAACTATGAGCCTCGATAACATAACTACGGAAGGTCTAAGCTCCGCTCCTGTAGCTGCGGTGGCCGCCCCGAGAGCGCAGCGCGCCGCTGCAGTTTCCGACCCGAGAACGTAACCCGTCGCCGCCAGCGCCAAGCGTGCGTCCACACCTGCGCTCCGGAACACGTTCAACACTCAAGACCGAGCAACTTCGCCTATATTGCGAACCCTCATTCTTAAACGCGATGCAGATTAATTTTTGCCGTACGGGAAGATGTTCGGTTTACACCGAACACATTTTGTACGCGTCGGCATTTAACATTAAACTTTGTATTTTTAGCCAGTACATGTACGGACGCCAACAAAGTCTCGTGTGCGTGCTCCTAACATTGTAAACATTTTAACAATAAATATTTTTTAAACATTTAAACAATTATATTTTAACATTAACATCAAAAGGTGTTGAATACCACAACACAAAGTTCTAGAGGTTGCTTGGAGTGGATTATTCGTGGGAAGATGATTCTGATGATGTTGAGCTAGATCTTACTCCTTTTTAGTTTTGTTTAATCTTGCATAATTAAGTTGAATTCACCTTGAGAATCGAAATAACCGATATACCCAAACGGATCAGTAAGCTGAAGTGGCAATGAGCCGGTCATATAGCTCGAAGAAGCGAGAACCTATGGAGATGGAAGGTTCTCGAGTGGCAGCCACGTAATGGTAAGCGAAGTGTAGGGTGCCTCCCTAGATGATGAGACGACCTGGTTAAACATGTTGGAGGCAATGGCTGCAGGTGCTTTGTGGTATTTCTTAGGGAAGGCCTATGCAAAGCAGTCGACTTTCGAAGATTTGTTATGATGATGATGATGATGATGATGAAAGTTTAAAAGCGGTGTCCATATTAGGATGGTGGTAGAGCTTTCCACGACATAGTAAATGCTGATTTACCACTTTCTAAAGAATAAATACATTCACGTGGTTGGTCCGTTAGTTAATCTTCGTCATCATTATTCATCATCATTACAGCCCTTCACAAGTTCGTTGCTGAACATAGGCGTCCTTCAAGTAATGTCACAAAGCACGGCCCGGAAGCACCTGCATTCATCGAATTGCTGCATATTTTACCAGGTCGTCACAAAAACTCGGGGCGCTCGACACTTCGTTTACCGGTACGAGGTTACCACTCGAGAACTTTTCTATCCCATCTGTTGTCGGTAATTTTTGTCATGTATTGGATATTCACGTGTTATTCGCCTGCAGTATATTAGCTGAAAATGTACATGCGCAAATACTGTCATTATGAACTCACGCCATTTCTACTAGTATAGTAGAATATTAATATTATATTTTATTATATTATATCATTGCGTATCTGGCTACCAAAAGTTCACTTAATGATTTTATACGAATACTACATATTAAATGAAACTAATTTTGATCAATTATACCGCGTTTGATTTTAGCTTTTAAATTCCCGACGGTGACGGAAGACTGAGGTGTTTATCGTGCCGATGCCATCGTTAGTTCAGCTACCTTTAGCTTTCGAATATTAATTATTGGTCTTATCTATGCAGAATGTACGCAAAGTACCTTGAAGTCTTGCAGTGGTGTGCTTGGGTTTGGATTTGATTTTACTAGTTATAGGGTCTCAAGCAGATGGCAGCACCCACTCGTCTGATCTATTGAAATTAGGATATTTTTTTAATTTCGATAGCCTCGCGAATCATCCTTGGGAGGAATCGGTGTTCTTTTGTGAGGATTTATGGTCTATCAAATCTCATGTAATGCCGGGGACGATCTTGAACATGTTCACATACTTAGCAGTCTTAACTATGACATCGGGACGTCAAACACTTAGAGTCCATTAGTGATGTAAAACACCCGAAACGTTGTGAATTAAAAAAGTTCAAATTAAATGCTATAAGTTTGTTTGTCATTTGATTAGTAGGTACCGTATATAAAGACGAATGTGTTGTGTTGGGCAGGCTGGACGGCGCTGGTGTACGCATGCGGACGCGCGGGCAGCGGGGCGGTGGAGGTGGCGCGGCGGCTGCTGGCGGCCGGCGCGCGTGTCGACGCCGCGCCCGCGCGCGCTCCCGACCTCTGCACGCTCACACCGCTGCAGGTCACCATACCATATACCTACCCACCATACACCATACACCACACAACAACATAAAGCACTAATAATAATAATAATAAAACCTGGCAGACCGAGTTCGGTACATCATGCACTCTCTCGAAAATATTTGATGATGCCGAACTCGAACGACTACGACGTGAGGCTATTCCATCATCAAATGAATCGGTTATGGCTGGGGATGCAGCTCCACATGCGACAGACAAGCATCCACACGTGGAAGCCGCCATGGATCTTCCAGTTGTGGTTGATTCGAAGGACGATGAAATAGTCTCCCACGAACTAGAGCAAATGAGGAGCATATTGAATGAGGCGATTTTGGAAACGCGCAGCACCCCTCTCGAAAATCGACCGCGACTTCCCCGCGACCTAAGCAAGCGAAATTCTTAACCCAATCCTAGTGACCTATTTGGAAGCCAGCCGGGACCTTTGCGAGACGGACTCAATTCTTTTTGGCGCCGCACTGGCAGTTTGCCGTATTATTGGCGCCAAACTTCCCATGGCTGGACGCGCTACTACATAAAGTAGCGCAATCCCAGCCTGGAGAAAAAGAATCGAGGACCGTATCGCAAAGGCAAGGGCCCTTATCGGCAGACTGACAAGCTTCAGGTCGGGTAATAATAGACCGAGGATTGTGCGCACCGTTAGGGTGGCTTTTGCTGGGAAAAATATCAGTTTGTCCCAGCCGGATATCACGTAGAAACTAAAGGAACGCATAGATGACCTGAAACAAAAGATCGCTGCTTGGGGGAAGCGGATTCGACGATTTACCGAGAGTTCAAGGCGGTTCAACCAGAATCGTCTCTTCCAGAGTGATCAGATGAGTATCTATAAATAATTGGAGCGAACAAAGATATGTGGAGCGGGCCCAGGACTGGATCAGGCTGACATTATCGCATTCTGACGTGGCCTGTGGTCAGAGCCCGTAAACCACAGGGAGGGTCCTTGGATGGAAGTTGTGGCGAGCCAAAGTGCGAGTGTTACGCCTATGGACCCCATCACCATAACGCCGGAAGACGTGGCTGAGGCGGTCCGTAGGGCCCCGAACTGGAAAAGTCCGGGGCTCAACGGGCTGCATCATTACTAGCTGAAGGGGTTCATAGTGTGTCACATTGTGCTCGCCCGACAGTTTCAAGAGGCTCTCGATCAGAAGTCGCTCCCGAGCCTCTTCACTACTGGGATCACTCTCTTGGTTCCTAAAGATCAGGATACCACAGACCCGAGCAAATACCGCCCCATCACGTATCTATCCACCATATATAAGACACTGACATCCATTTTGAGCACGAGAATCACTCGTCACCTGGACTCAAATCAGGTGATGTCACACGCTCAAAATGGATGTCGGGGCGGTGACCGTGGAACCAAGGAACCACTCCTAATTGACGCGGTCATTGGCAAAATGGTGAAACGCAACCGTCGGTACTTCTCTGCCACCTGGATAGACTACAGAAAGGCGTTCGACTCGGTGCCACATACATGGCTAAAGAGGGTCCTCGAGCTGTACAAGATTGATTGTACAGTTAGAGAGAGAGAGAGAGAGAGCTTGTCAGTCTGTACAGTGAGAAACTTCCTCGAGCAGTGTATGGGGCAGTGGATTACGATCCTTTGACATCTAGGCGAGCGCATGATGGCTGCGGAGAACCACATAAGGATAAGAAGGGGTATCTTCCAGGGCGATTGCCTGAGTCCAATCTGATTCTGCCTCTCTCTGAACCCTCTCAGTACCTTACTGGAGGGAGGGGATTTCAGCTACGGAAAGGAGGGACAAAAGTAACCCACCTTTTCTATATGGATGACCTCAAGTTATTCGCCTCCAGTCGCTCCCATCTTGTGGAATTGCTAAACATCACTTGTAAATTTAGCAATTCCAATGGAATGGAGCTGGGGACGGATAAGTGTGCGGTGCTCCATGTTGAAAGGGGAAGGGTTGCTAACTCTGAGGGCATGGACTTGTCTATGCCCGTCAACTTAAGGACCCTTTCCGAGGCTGAAATATACCGATACCTGGGTATGTCACAGAACATCGGTATCGATGAGGCTGGTATGAAACAGTCAGTTTGCGACGTGTTTTATGCACGCTTGACCAAAGTGCTTACCAGCCTTTTGTCCGGTGTGAATAAGACACACGCATATAACGGTTGGGTCATGCCTGTCCTCATGTATACCTTTGGCATACTCAGATGGAGTCAGACTGAACTAAACGCCCTGGATAGAAAAGTCCGCACTACCATGACGTCCCATAGGACGCATTATCAGAAATATCATACGAAAGCATGGTGGGCGTGGTTTTCTGAGCGCGCTCACCATGCATAATCGCGAAGTGTGCAGCCTCCGTCATTACTTCCTGGCAAGATAGGATGATCCATTCTATAATGACGTCATTTCTAGTGATAAAGGGCTTATCCCTCTATCCTTAGCCAACGAGCAATGGCAGGACCCAGCAGTGCTTAGCATTTCCGCCCGGGAGACCGTATGGAAGGAGAAGGAGCTCCACGGGAGGTACTACAAGGCTCTACATGAGCCCTTCGTAGATACAATCTCTTCCCTCAACTGGCTACGTGTCTGTGCAATACAGGATCAGGTTATTAAGACCAACAACCATTGGAGATACATCCTAAAGGATAGCACCGTCGACGTCTGTCAAGCTTGTCGCCATTCCGGGGAGTCACTTAGGATCTCCGGTTGTTCAGCGTTTTCTAACTCTGAGTACTTGCACAGGCACAACCTAGTAGCCAGAATTCTACACCAGGAGTTCGCTCTGAAATACGGTCTCGTGGACCGAAAATTGCCGTATTATAAGTACTTGCCGGAAGCCGTGCTCGAAAATGACCGCGCCAGGCTCTACTGGGACCGGGCCATCATCACAGTCAGGAATATTCTTGCGAATAAGCCTGATATTGTGCTGATGGACCGGGCACAGTCAAGGATATTTTTGATCGACATTACCATTCCGTATGACGAGAACCTCGTGAAAGCCGATACAGATAAGCGAACAAAATATCTGGACCTGGCTCACGAGGTGACCGACATGTGGGGTGGTCGGCCGGCCGAAATTATTCCTGTAGTCGTCTCTGCGAATGGGCTAATCCCAGTCAGCCTCTCGGGTCATCTGTGGCCACTGGAGGATTCCGTGACGGACCGCTCCGGGCTCAAATGCAGAAGGCGGTGCTCCTCGATACCGCCCGCATCGTCCGCCGGTTTCTTTCCCTTTCCCTCCGTTTGTTCTCTCCTGCCGAGGGCTTCCGTCTGGTTGGATCTTTATTTATTTATTTATTTTTTGTATTTATTTTATTTTATTGATATTTATGTATATTTATCTTTTCATTTTAATTTATAATTATATATTTATAGAACCGAACCAGATGAGAAAACTATATAGATATCCCAATAATAATAATAATATAATAATCACTATTATAAGTATACATACTCAAATAATGTCAGTTTGAAGTGTAGAAGTATTGTAGAAGTAGGTACGAATGTAAAGGAATTTGTAATTCAGTTTTAATACCCTTCCAGAAATCTAAATAAACCAAAATAAAATTTTAGAATCAACGACAATACAATGTTTTCATATAAACTCTCTGTACTCGTCACAACTGATCAGTATCTATTTCGTTTTTTTTTTTTAAATTAATATTATTATTTTATCAATATTTATTAGTAAGTCAATATATGATTGGTTTCCCACGTATGTGAAATTATATTTGTACTACATAACTAACAAAATAATGTTCATTTTGCAAAAGTTATTAAAACATCGTTATAAGTAATCTCATACAAAATTTACAAAAAGAAATTTACACCGCTTTCGAATTACGTACTTTGTGCTCGTATCAACTAGTGAACGAAGAACAAACTAAACGGACCGCAGAATAGAATGGAATAATTTTTAGAATAGAATATAATACTTTTTTCTTATTGAAAGTATTTTCTTTTAGTTTTACCTGTACGGTCCAACCGTACATTTCTGTTGGCGTTAACATTTAACGTGAAGCAATCGCTATAATTCGACAATTATAAAAATTAAGTTAGTTCACGTAATCATCGTAACCGCGACGGATGCGAACTCATTAACATAACATTAACTTTTAACATATTTTATGAATGAATGAATATACTTTATTGTACACCACAAACAAATTTACAAAGAACATAACAGAGAGCAGATTACATGTACAATTTGGCGGGCTTATCGCTACATAGCGATCTCTTCCAGGCAACCAAAGGTGTAAAGGAATAAAACAGTGAAGTATAACAAAAAATATACTTAACAATATTTTATTATTATATTTTTGACTTCTTTATTAAACTGTTTTGACATAAAATGTAAACTATTATTCAACATACGTCCAATACCCGAACATTACCATGGGTTCGGAAAACACCTCTATCTTAGGAAGAACCAGCAAGAAACCAAACCAAAAAAAGTTAAAATAAAAAAAATGTCGCCTCCACTTCACCTCGTAAACCCAAGCAAAAATAATAACTGCACACGTTGAATGAAACAATTTTTTGCAGGTAGCGTGTGGAGTCGGCAATCTAGAATTAGTCCAGTTGTTGCTGTCGCACGGTGCGGACCCCTTCCTGTCTACACAGCTCAATGATGCCTTGTGCTATTCCGCTGCTGCCCAGTATGGATGCTACAGGTATCAGTTTAATACAACTAACACATTCAACTGTCAAAAATCAATACGAACCTTTGCATTTACACATAGAGACTCAAATCCTAGATGTTATCTAATAAGGTATAATCTATCTACATTGAAATTATTTATAGTTCAAATCAATCTATAATTTTTCAAGCTTTGCATTAAGAGTTTAGCAGTTTTTTTTTTCTTAAAAGATTTGGTTCATACATTCTATATGTATATTATGTTATGAAATCTTTTTTTTAAACGTTACCCCTACACTAGGATTTTCTCCTGTATCGTGGAGGCAGTTTACAAACATAAATTGCACAAGGACAAACATCCGGACCCGGAACAATCATTTATAGGCCATACAATTACTTGTTCCGTGCGAGATTCGAACGCGCGAACTCTCTCCCCCCCCCCCGCCCAGTCACTCATTGCTAAGCCGCTACGCCACGGAGTCGTCAATCTTTGCTGCTATCTAACGATTATCTGACTTGTGGTTTAATTCAATATGGATATCCCCAAGGGCCTTTGCTTGGTCCCCTCTCATTGATTACATTTACTGTCATATTTAAGATTTAATTTAATATTTTTATATAAGTGAATAAAACGCCTCCAGCATAAGAAATGCTAAGACAACTTTAAAACTTACTTTCAACCACTAACAAAATTGAGCTTGACATCACAGACGAACGAAAAAGACGAATTTAATTATTGTGCACAGCGCGGTGGCAGTGTGCTGCGCGCACGGGCGGCGCGCGTGCTTGCGCGCTGTACTACGCGGCGCGGGGCGCGCGGCGCGCGTGGCGCGGGTGCCGTGCTGTCGCTGGAGGAGGTACTGGCGGAGGGCGCGCCGCCCCAGGCCCGCCCGCCGCCCTTCACCAAGCAGCAGCAGCGTGCGCTGCACGACGCCATGTACTACGCGGCCGAGACCGACCACTTGGGTCAGTCCATCACTATCATATATATACTATTAAACTTGCAGTTCAGAACAGAAACTGTGTCACCACTATTTCGGGCGGACGCGGTCGTAAATATGCCACGCAGTTGTATTTTTACTTTATTAAAATTACATACTTATCTGAAACAAACTTCATATCACGTTGACAAAGTATGCATAATAATAATAAAAGTGTTTTATTAGTCACATTAAACAAAATCAGCATTGGATTATCTTTCTCAGATCTCAAATTATCAGTCTTCTCGCCCGCTCGCAGTTGACTAAATAAGTTGCGGAGAAACTACCGCAACCTAGTGAGCAATATATATATATATATATATATATATATATATATATATATATATATATATATAAATTAATTCTTTGACTATATGTTCGGCCACATTGTGCTTATCTACCATCTTTTGTTACCAATTTTCTCCTCACCAATAAGATATTTTCATTTTTATAAAGAAGTTTTCGCTTCCAAAATAGTCTCTTTAAATATTAATTTATTTAGTGCTTAGCAAACCTGAGGAAAGCTAGCTGAGTAGCCCTCACAATCTACACACGCTTATAAATATGAAGCAGATGGAAGCCACTGCACTGTTCGACCGTAACATATTCTATCTCATATCTCTACCATTGCTACCTGTCTCACTAATATTATAAAGAAATAATATGAACGCTCTAATCCTAAAATAAATCTAAACACACTTTATTCTATCTGTAACAAAAAATTTTATAAAAATTTACTCGTAGAAAACAAAAATTTTCAATATTTTTATTTATTACTTGTTTACTACTCCCAAATGCGTCACAATTATCATTACAGGTACAGCCTGCCAAAGTTCACTGCTGAAAATAGGTCTCCCAAAAGGTCACATCTTAAGGAAATACTTTCCATAATTTCCACACATTGCAGGCGTTGGAAACCGAAAAGAAAGGGGAATGAAAGTGAACGCAAGTAAGACGAAAGTGATGGTTTTTGAAAGAGAAAAAAGCAAAACGGTATGTGAAATAAGAATAGAAGGAGAGTTAATTGAGCAAGTGGATGAGTTTGTGTATTTGGGATGTGTATTTAGCAGGGATGGTAGATATGATAGGGATATAGAACGACGAGTAAATGCAGGGAATAGAGTGAATGGGGCACTACACTCTATTGTGAAGAACCAGAATGTATCAAAAAAGGCACGTATGGTAATTCATAATGCTGTGTTAGTCCCTACTTTAATGTATGGTAGTGAAAGCTGGGTGTGGCAGAAGAAGCACGAAAGTAGAATAAATGCGGTAGAAATGCGGTCTTTAAGGAGTATGCTAGGGTTGAATCTGAATGACAGGGTGAGAAATTGCGTGATAAGAGATAAATGTGGTATGCAAGATGATGTTGTGACCAGGATTAAGAAAGGAATGCTTCGGTGGTTTGGTCATGTAGAAAGAATGAATGAGGAAAGAGTGACAAAGCAAATTTATATGGTAGATGTGAACGGCCGAGTCGGGAAGGGACGCCCTAGAAAAAAGTTTATCGACCAAATTGGCGATATTTTGAAAAGGGGCCACGTTAGAAGTACCCTTAACCGACAAGCATGTATGCGTAGATATATGGATGTAAAGGAGGCGAAAGAGGTATGTCAGGATCGTGCCAAATGGAAGTCCGTAGTCTCTGCCTACCCCTCTGGGTGACAGGCGTGAGTGTTTATGTTTATATATATATATATATATATATATATATATATATATATATATATATATATATATAGAGAGAGAGAGAGAGAGAGAGAGAGAGAAGTATAAGAGCCTACAGACCCTAACTAAGTTCCCCCCTTACCTAGCTGTCCCTAACAGTCCCTAATATCTCTACCATATATATACATACATAATTATTATAAATATACATACATAAATTAGATAAGTGTGGGATGTCTGCACCATGAGATCTAAGGTAACAAAGGGATAGAGACAGGATGTCAGGGTTAGGTGATGGGGTTCTCTCTTTGCCAGTGAAGCAGACTCACAAGACTGTATGTGATCTCTAACAGCTAAATATGCCTTGCCCGCAGAGACAGGAATACCTTGCCAGAAGTCTCGACGGTAATAATGAAGTCGTCATTCAGCGTTGAAAGAGGATTTTATTTACAAATCATTACCTTTTAAGACATATAAAAATTCAGCTTATTTTCATTCGGCTTACTCAACAACTGTTAGTGTGCATGAGTTTTGATGACGCGGTCACTGGACTGCTGCGTTGAAATGTTCAAAGCTGAATAAAAGCCCGCAGAGTCCATCTCGTAATAAACATAGAAGTCTTTGTTCATGAAAGGTCCAACTATTTTTGGAGCTTACCTCAGACCAACTAAAACAAGACGATCAAACCAAGTTCAACTCCTCGACACGCACTCATGCTCATATCTTTCCTAATTTTTAACAGCCTTATGATTGAATAAAACTATTTACACGGATAGTATCGCGTTTAAATAACAATCAAGTTTTATTCAATGTGTAGTGTTCGCGTAAATTTAAGAAATCGTTAGCATTAAGATTGCAAATTATTTTAGATAATGTATACGTGAGTAGCACAGTGCTTTATTTATGTTTCTCAGTTAGTCTGAGTTTTTATATAAAATTATCGCCTCTAATTACTAAAGTTCAATGAGTTAGATATTTGTTTTACCTTTGAGGACTAAGATGTTGTTTTGTTTACTCTTTTTCGTGGTTTTTTTTTATCATTTTCCCAACTTACCATTGCGTACCATTAAAAGACCACTGCTGATATATATACATAGGGGGGATTTATGCCGTATTTACCAAAACTGGCGGACAGGTTGGTAACTGCAGTTTCTTCTCTTCTTTTCTAGTTATCTTTATGACAACAAATGGAAATGAAAATTCCATTTGTTGTCATAAAGATACTGTTGCCAATCATTTGTTTAAGTTTCAGTTTTTCTGCGGCCTCTTAAGACACCCGTGGGCTGATGTGGGGTACAAGATATTACTATCCCAACTTAAAAAACACCATTATTTCACTCTCAGTATTTCTCTCTATATCGTGGAAGCGTTTAACAAAGGTGTTCCGTACGAGATTCAAATTCGCGCCCCGCAATGCCGTAACTAACACATTATAATCGAAATCAAAATATGTGCAAAATTCGGTATCAGGTTTTGCTTTTTTTATAGTATAGGGTGACAAATGAGCACACTCTCCACCTGATGGTAAGTGGATGCTGCGGCACATAGACATCTACATCTATCCTCGTATGCGATTCAAAATGCAGATGCGTTGTCAGCCGTGAGGACTAAGATGGAATGCCTCGCTTTCAGGAAAAAGGGTCTCCGGTTCTCTACACTCACCATAGGAAACATAGCAGCATTAAGCTACTATTTCACGCTGGCATTCTGTGTTTTCCTGAATCCAGATGTCTCTGCGTAACATAACATTTAAAACGCCATAGTTATTATCACTCATTCGAAGATTTGGTGATTCTATAAATCAAGCAACCTCAAAATTATATCCCCACGAACCCCTATTAAATTTTCTAGGCAATGACAAACCCCCTAAAATAACGCTTGCACCATCAATCATGTAGCGCACGTGACCAGACAGTCTGCCGCCAAAACGTATATGTTTCGCAAACTCCCCATGATTAACTGAAAAACTAAGAGGACCTGCATATCTCACTTTTGGAAAACCTGCTTTAAATGGACACATTGTATACTGTACAATTAAATTAAACGCATATAAATCTATATGGCCGATTATTTTCTTTGTAACTAATATAATCAGGCGTTACCTTGCGGAAATCCATTATATCAAAGACTAACAGCGATCCGCCCCAACTTCACCTGGATAGAATGTACTAAGATTAATTCTTATATATAGCGAAGTTAAAAAATATTACAGACAGACAGTTCATTTTTTTTCATAATGTTTTTAGATGTCAAAATTAATAGTTTTGCTTTTTAACTTTCAGATATAACATTAGAACTCCGTGCACTAGGAGTCCCGTGGTCGCTGCACGCGTGGACCCTTTCCTTGGCAGCTGCTGCTGAGGCCTCCCTTGACCATGTTATAGATCAACTTCTACAAGACTTCTTGCAGGTAAAATTTCATAACTTACAAAATTATAACTTATGACAATATGAAAAAAATACAAATACCTACGCATATGTTCAACTTTACTAGAAATATTTTAGTTAAAACTCCATTCCTAATATAGTTCGATTACGAGAACGTGGTCCTTCCCCATTGAGCCGACCCACTCGTGCTACAACTGTACTACTAATATTTGGTCTTACCACGTGTAAATTGTCATAAGGTGACTCTCATAATGCGAAACTATATAGTTAATTTTAATAATTATTTGCAGGTATGTCCATCAGACGACAGCCACTACAGCAAGCAGTTCATCTACGAATGTCTTCCTCTGCTGTTTAATATACTTCGATACAGCAAAGTAAGTTAAATCATCAACAGTATTTTTTTAATGTGTCTATCCATTCTCTAAGAGCCTATCTAAAGTGCACTGCCGAACACTGGCTGCTCCTTACTAGTACGCCTCATATGAGGTAATCTATGGGAAAATCAGTGCATACACTGCTGACTTTAGGCATAGATAAATAAATACGTAGCAAGCTAACTTTAGGGTGGCCAGATGGTCGGGGTTCGTCTGGATTCTCCCCACATTTTAAACGATCTCCAGACTTCGAATAAAACTCAAATTCTCCAGACAAACAACTTCTCGGAAAGTTAATTTATGACCTTTGATTTAATAAAAGCTGAGTTAGTAATTTGACTGAACTTTGAAGTAAATTGTTTAAATTTTAAATATTTTCTGAAGCACTAAAGGATCTAAATTCGTGGACTCTAGTAAAGTCCAATGCCAAATACATGTAGCAATCTAGATATTAAATGTACTTAAATTAGTTTTATTAGTAGTAACTTTTGTAGCCTCTTAATTAAAAAAATAAACTTTTTATTTTAATATTCATTTCTCCCGACAACAACCCAAAAATCCCGACATTTCCAAAATTTGTCCAGATATTTTGATCTACAGATCTGGCAAACATAGCTGAGTTCCGGTCTGAAGAGTATAATATAAAAAGCCAGTGCTGATGTTTTTTTTTTTTAAATAAATAAAACTAGTCTTCTGTGTATACTACTATACCGGCAATGCAGAACAAAAGCTGTACAAGCAGCTGTGGATGGCGCGGGCGCCGCCTGGGCGAGTAACTAGCACGTTGAATATGCCACATAGTTCTATTTTCATTTACGACAGTAACTTCTTTAAGCAAATACGAAATTACATATTCATCTGAAATAGACTCCAAAACACGTTGACAAAATGCGCACAAAAACAGTGTAAAATTATCGAAAACAACGTTCACGGTTCACAAAAACAAGAACTAATCTTCTCACTCGCTCGCAGTCACTTAGTGATATTTGTATTAAGGCCCCAGAGCCCATCTAGGAATGTATAATAATTATTATAATTATTTATTTTTTATAGTTATTATATTGTATAATTATAATTATTGAACAAAACTATTATAAGGATAAGTATAAGGCGAGTAGTCGTTGCTAGCCCGATCTGAGGTCATCGGCGGCCAGCTGGCCATGCATTATCATGTGCCTACTCGTCCTCGTGTTGAAGTCCAAACATCTAGTATAACTACAGGCACATTGCATCTTAGTCCCCAGAGATAACAACGCATCTCAAACCTTCTTTGTTTGAAGTTTCTTGCGGACGTTTTATAAGTGATAGAGCCACGCTCCAACAGAATACCAGCGTGAAATAGCAGCATAATGCTGCTGTGTTTCGAATGATAAGTGTAGAGAAACGGAGACTCTTATTAATGGAAACGGGGCATTCAATCTTAGTCCTCAGGGGTGACAACGCATCTGCATTTTGATTCACAATCGAAAATATGTAGATGTCTATGGGCCACAATATCCTCAGTTGGACTATGTACTCGTTCGGCACCCTTAACCTTATTCTATAGAAAATCTTATATTTTATTACTAGTTGTTCTTCCTGAATTCACCCGCGTGGATTTTATTACGGTTGGATGTCATGGGCTATAATTTTTCTGCTATAAGTTATCCTTATATCATCAGCTATATGCCAGTGAAAACCCCGTTAATATCGTTCCAGCTATTTCAGAGATTAGCCAGAACAAACAAACAGACAGACAAACGGACAAAAATTTTAACAATTGTTATTTTTTGTTATAAGTACTGTACATACTTTGACATTACAAACAGACACTTCAACCTTATTTATTTTTATATATATATATATACAATATGTAACATAATTAACGCACACCCTCAGACACCCCAATTAGTATATTATGTTATAATCGTAATACATACACTGAATTTTAGTTAAATATTTTTATGCACTGATTATTTATCAAATTAGTTATACTAATTCCGGAAGAATGTTGTGGTCACAGTACAAAGCCACGAACGCAAAGACTTTAACGTGCTTATTAGTAATAATACAAATAAAACTGCATTCTTGAAAGTCTTATTGCCTTAAGTTACGGTCCATTTCAGTTTGTTTTGACTGTACAGATTTAGTGTGACGGTAATTTACGTAGTTTTAATTATTTTTGGGATAAAAAATTGCCAATATTAAAAATGATAGGAATCGATTCAGTAAACGATTCTGAACAAACTACTTTCTCAAAGTGCGTTAATTATGTTACATGTGTATATATATATATATATATATATATATATATATATATATATATATATATATATATATATATATATATATCGAGATCTGTAAATGAACGTACGTTTATATTTGCTTTGTAATGTTCAGAAGGAGGGCACGGTGCTGCTGCTGGCGGACATCCTGTGCGCGTGCTACGGGCGCGAGCCGGCGCCGCGCGTGCACGAGCCGCCGCCCGACGCGCCCGCACCTGCGCGCGTCGACCCCTCCTACGTCAACAACCCTTCGCTCGCTGACGTCACCTTCCGGTCAGTGCGTTGTTACGTGTGTTGAGGGAGGCAAAGACCTTATACCATACAGCCTAGTCCGATGTGTATTTTGTTAAAATATTATAGTAGTATTAGACCGAAAATAGGTCATGGCGGCGGTGCGCACAACATATATGTAACGTCCGAAGGCATCCGCAAGCTCAGGTGCACTCTCTATTCCCTCACTCTCATAGTCTGATAGAACGTTTATTTGACAAAACGGGAGATATCAGATGCAGGACCAACGGCTTTACGTACCTTCTAAGGCACGGGGGTGAAACACCATGGCTTGTAAATACGTACGTTTTAGATAATATATGTTATACTGGTAGGCGCAGGCCTTTTCTCATTCAGAGAGGGTTTTAAGGTAGGAAAATATCCGACACGTACTGTTTACGCTGTTTGGCGCAGATAGTTACTTTTATTTTTCTACATGTAGGTTTCCTGTTGCAGGTTACATGATGTTTTCCTTTGCCGTCAAGCATTTGGTAAATTTTACCTGTGTCAAGTTCATCATTATCATCATCATTACAGCCCTTCAAGAGTCAACTGCTGAACAAAAGCCTCCCCCAGGGAACGCCACAAATCACGGTCCCAAGCCACCTGTATCCATTGACTTCCTGCATGTGCATTCCTTCATGAACATTCCTTCCTCCATTCCTACTTGTCGTCACTTCATCTAGTGGGGAGCCGCCCTACACTTTACCTGCCGGTACGAGGATGTCGCTCGAGAACCTTTCTTCCCCATCGATTGTCAGTTATTCGAGCTATATGGCTAGCCAATAACTACTTCAGCACACTAATCCGTTGGGCTATGTCAATTACTCTGGTTCTACTGAAGATATCCTCGTTTTTAAGTCTATAACGCAGAGCATTCCCGAGCATAGCCCTCACCATAGCTCGCTGAGCGACTTGAAGCTTCCTCATACAGCCATCAGTGAAGGACCATGTCTCAGATCCATAGGTCATGGCAACATGCACTAGTGTGTCAAATTACCAGAAATTATTCTACAATAGTATTTTCTCAAAAAAAATCTTTACAACGTGCCGATGCGTCACATCTCTAAGTTTATGAGCGATTTTGATGATAGCTTAACTTAGCGGACAGTCGACGACGACAGCATATCAAGCTCTAAGGTACCTAAACGAACAAAATAACCTGAGGTTTATATCAACATCGGAGCACTTATTGCATCGTTTCCACTTTCTTCTAATAGTCCACATGCGCGGACACTTAATGCACAAAGTCGCACCACTTTTACGTATTATTTTAACACATAGTACTCTTGTGCAATGAAAGGCGGGCGGTGAACTTCCCGCCAAAACCTGTCTATTAATTCAAACATTCATCTATGTAACGATTTATTAAAATTTTGTATAAAAAATAACATCTGATGCGGTTAATTACGATGGACCAAACACTTAAGAATATACTCCTCAAACTCTTCTGCCAATGTATTGAAACTATCTCTGTGAGATAACGATAGGGGAATGCCTCGTTTCCAGTTAAAAGGGCCTATGGCTATCTGCACTCACCATACGAAACACAGCACCATTGAGCTGCTGCTTTACGTTGGTGCTTTTTGAAAAATGTGGTCCTACTCCCATAGGTAGAGTCAACCCATTCGAGCTACAACCATAATACCTATAGCTGCAGCATGGCTCTACCACATATTATGGTGTTGTTATATATGGCTTGTACGGTTATACTTTTTCTAGTGTCAAAGTAAAGTTACAGCCTATATACGTTCTACTGTTTTGGTACAGCACTCTCATTTCGGAGAGGTTTTAGGGCAAGAAAATGACTGCCGCGCTGTCCCAATACGTGGTGACGGACTTCACACACATACATACATACACAGCTGTTTCATATACAAACGGTTGCAACATCAAAAGATGAAGTGAATTGCCGGCCTTTTAGAAAGAAGTAGGATCTTTTTTGGAAATGATGCCCTTAAGTCTCGAGCTGTCTTTATTTTATCAAAGTCAAAGTGACTGTGATACTACGAGATTTAAAGATACCTTAAAATTGAGTGGGGTTTGTGTATTTGTCAATAAGACCCCTATTACTGGAAATAAGACTTTTCGTATTAGTCCTCAAGTGTGACAATGCATCTTTTTTAAATTCTTAATTGAAGGTAAATGTAAGTGGCCACACTGTAGCGGCGCTGTCGTCGCGTCACAAGCGAAACACACCGAAGCCTAAATCGCGCTATCAACATTCCGAATTATAAACAGTATATATAGAACTTCTCCGATCTATCACACGGAGCGTTGGCCGCTCCCCGGGCAGAACACCTTGCCCGGCGGGAGATCTCCCCTTTTCCTACTTCGGCCACAACACCATTCACTTTCTATCAGGTGAACTGTGTGCTCGTTTGTCACTCTCTATCCATACAAAAGCCCCGATGTGGAGGTCTCCATTGACTGACATTATAACAACGCGTTGCAAGGTGTTGGGGCGGTTCACTGTAAGCAGAGTTAATGTACAGGGTGGAGGGGCGGCTGTTCTACGGGCACAAGATTGTGCTGGTGTCGGAGTCGCCGCGGCTGCGCGCCATGCTGGCGCCGGCGCGCGCCGAGCCCGCCGCCGCCGCGCCGCCGCTCGTGCAAATCAACGACATACGCTACCACATCTTCGAGGTCAGTGCTCCGAACTGCATTGTCCTGTCAAACACTTCTTAGATACTCCTAGGGGTACGGGTACTACGATATTAAGCTCTATTCTCTTCTATCTACGCTCAATTCTCCGGGTCTTTACACTCACCATACGAAACACAGCAGTACTAAGCTGCTACTTTACGAAGGTATTCTGTGATAACGTGGCCTTATTACGATTTCCTTTTACTTTGCCGACCTATTCGTGCTATAACCATAATATAGCAGCAGCATGGTACAACGTGTAAAAGCGTGTAAAGTTTGGTAATTCTGGCATATATACTCTCTGTAGAGGTATGTTTGCCAGAGTCATCTAAGGGTAATCTATGATCCAGGTTTATGTACAGCAGTGGTGGGGAGTGGCAGAAGAAGTACGAGAGTATAATAAACGCAGTAGAAATGCGGTCGTTAAGGAGTATATTAGGGCTGAATCTGAATGACAGGGTGAGAAATTGTGTGGTTTGCAAGATGATGTTGTGACCAGGATTAAGAAAGGACCACCGAGGCATTGGTGGTTCGGTCATGTGGAAAAAATGAATGAGGAAAGAGTGACAAATAAATTTATGTTGAAGAAGTGAATGGCAGAGTCGGAAAGGGACGTCCTGGACGAAAATTTATCGACCAAATTAGCGATTTATTGAAAACGGGTAAAATTAGGAGTACCCTTAACCGACGAGCATGTACGTGTAGGTATATGGATGTGAAGGAGGCGAGAGAGGTGTGTCAGGATCGTGCCAAATGGAAGTCTGCAGTCTCTGCCTACCCCTCTGGGTGACAGGAGTGAGTGTTTATGTATATGTATTTATGTATACTACTAATAAACGGTTACGGTCGATTCCCCGTTACACCTTTAGTCGACTGCGAGCGGGCGAGAAGACTAGTCCTTTGTTTTGTAAACCTCGAACGTTGTTTTCGACAACCTAACACTGATTTTGTTTTATATGACGAAGAAAACGCTGTCATTATTGATGAGCGCACTTTGTCAACGTGATTTCAAGTTTATTTCAGATAAGTATATAACTTTATTTCGTATTTGCCTAAAACAGTAACTGTTTGTGAAAATGCAACTGCTTGGCATATTTACAGCGTCAGCTACCCGCTTGCGTCTTTTTGCATTGTGTGACTTAATCATACTCATCAATCAATCATACTGAGTGCTTTAATATCAAGGTAATTAAAAAATAAATCCGTTCTAAGGTGCCCGAGAGGCTCTCTTCGTGCGCACAAGTACGTATTATAAGTCAAGTATTTAAAACAAACATCTTTACAAAGATTATGAAGTCAAAGTCAAAGACAAAATATTTTTTTGGAATTCGCTTTTACAGAGCACTTTTTAAAGTCAAAAGCTACGGCATCGCTTTACAATTCCCTAATTTGGAAGACCTTGTGAGAAGTTGCACAAGTACATTATTTTCCTCCCAACAATTACAATTTTAGCCGATGAAATATATTACTTAAATAAAAAATGTATGTGTAAAGGCTTACTATGTCCATCAACAACTCAATAAACTCAACTTTGTATATTCCTAGCAAGGTTATAAGTTGAGTTCCACAAGGCTCCATAATAGGGCCACTTCTTTTTAAACTCTATTACAGTTTTGGCTGTCTTTTAAACAATTTGGAAAAAATTCTGAAGTCACTCTCGCAGAACGCTTGCAGAAAAAGTAAATGCCAGAAAGGTTTCACTACCCGGGAAACCTTTCTGGTATTTGCTATAGTGTCACCACCAAAACGGAACGGGGTGCTGAATTCTCTTAAGATGTCCCCACACGTTTACGTGGTGGATCTACGCTCGAGCTATATCATGGTGGTAGCACGAATGGGTCGGCTCGACCGGCGTAGGACCACGCTCTCACAGAATACCAACGTAAAGTAGCAGCTTAATGCTGCTGTGTTTCGTATGGTGAGTGTAGAGTTTAAACGATAGCAGCTTAATAGCAGGATGCGGACCGCAAACTCAATAAAGGGAGTGGGTTCGAATCCACCATTCGACTACTGTCTTGAATCACTCCTAACACAAGAATTTTAAACTTACCAGGAGCGCTTAAAGGGAATATTAGCAATGTTAATAGCATTAACAGTCATTTTAGAATCTTTTTATTGAAAACGAGGCATACCCTTTTAGTCCTCAGGGAACACACACTTTTGAGTCTTAATCAATGATAAATGTAGATGTTTATGGGCCACAGTATCCACTTACCATTAGGTGGCCATCATTATTAGTCTATAAAAAACCATCACCATTATTCTATAAAAAATTATGTAATGACGTTGTTATGGGGTGTGGTGTGGGTGCTGCAGCACGTGATGCAGTACCTGTATAGCGGCGGGTGCGCGGGGCTGACGGTAGCGGATGGCGACGTGCTGGAGCTGCTGGCCGCCGCCGCGTTCTTCCAGCTGCTGCCGCTGCAGCGCCACTGCGAGGCGCGCGCCGCCGCCGCCGTGGATCTGCACAATCTCGTCTCCGTCTACATACACGCCAAGGTACCACAACCTTAACCATAACGTTCTTCCGGCTGCTAACGCTGCAGCAACACTGAGTACACTAGAGCTTCATGTCCGAGAAGCTCTTGACGGGTGTGTACAGCCAGCGTAGCCGCGCATCCATCACAGCTTATAACAGTCCACTGCTGAACATAGGCCTCCACAGAAAAGGGGGATTTGCCACGTTGCCACGTTTGGCAAACAGGTTGTAAGCCGCAGTTTTTTAAATGAAAACTTTAAAAAACTTCGGTTTGACTTTGATTTGAAACTCGATGAAACTAAAAAGAGACAAACGTATTTATTTCGTATTTATATTTAAATTTTGCATGCGAAAAATGAGATAGAATACAGTATACAGTGTTTCCTATTACCTCAGTCGCCTTTTCTGAAGGTTTCAGTTTTACCGCGTGTGAACTGCTCACATGTTCTTGTTATTTATTATTTTTAGGTATTATTAGTTTAGCCACCGTAACAATGATGAATTTATCAAGGAGAGTTATAATGATGATTTCTTTTCAGGTCTATGGCGCGACTCAACTGCTGGAGTACTGTCAAGGTTTCCTACTCCAGAACATGGTTGCTTTACTTACGTACGACGATTCCGTCAAGAGGCTACTATTTGGCAAGCGGCTACCCGGACACAATGTACTAGGAGCTCTCCTGACCACATTACAAAAAAGGATCGAATCCAGAAAGAGCCAGTCAAAGAGTAGGTAGCGGTAGACTGGTTTTTTAAATATTACAAACTGGACACTTATTTGTTTAATATATAACAGTAAAATGTAAAACAAAGAACTACTATATTGTCTTAAAATTATAAATTTAAAGCTATACATCTTGTTATTGTCGCATTCAAATGTGATGAACGTTGTCACGTGTTATATATAGATATATTATGGGTGCACGATAGGAATAACTTGCTTAACTTCCTTATATGTTATCTCTGCTTAGACAAATAGTTGACTGGGAGAGAATATCCTTCGGCATTAATTCTGCCATAAATACCATATAATGTATTAATATAAATAAATAAAATTGTCAAAGTGTATGTACATTGCGAACGAAATTGCATTATTTACAATAAACAAAATAAGAAATTATTAACATAATATTAAATATGGGTATTATTTATATTTATTTTAAGAATTTATTAAACCTACAATCGAGTTTAGGGGAATGAGGTAGGGAGAGATAAGTTGATGGGACCAACTCCTCTCAACACTGTGCTCTAGGGAGATGCAGAACTTTGTAGCTTTTAGAAGAAAAGTATATGTTGTAAGATGTATTGAAAAGCATTTAATGTACTGGAAAGCAGTTCTTAGTCTCCTGCTTTGTGAAAGGACGAGGAAAAGAAAGGGTAAGACATGAGCTTGAAGGGGCAACCCCGAGAAAAGAATACGGTATTTTGCACCGTGTAAAAATATAAAAAATACGTATTTATAAATTTTATAAAAATTAAACGAGCCGTGGTAGCTCAGTGGTTAACGCTCGCTGTAAATATAACAGAACGCGAGTAACCCGGGTTCGATCCCCGCCGGCACCAATGAAATTGTTAATTGCAATTTTAAGTGCTGATTTACCACGTGCTCGGCGGTGAAGGAAAACATCGTGAGGAAACCTGCTTGTCTGAGGAATAAGAAAAAAAAATATTTCGAAGACATGTGAAGTTCGTCAACAAGCATTTGGGCAGCGCGGCGGACACTTCCTTGCCCTAAACCTTTACCTAACTAACTTTACTTTTTGTACTTGTAACTTTACCTTTTTACTTTATACGAGAAATTATTATATATTATTATATATAATATAATAATGTTTTTTTTTTTAATTTGTGCCTCAAACGTCCAAAACGCTATCCGCCATATTAGAATCCGTCATGACGTCACTTCTATAGTACACAAGTTAACGTGCTGTGTGTTATTTCGAAATTCATAAAGTTGTCATCACGATTGTGGACCTTTATTTCCGTATTTTATTGAAATGGCACCATGGAAGACGGACCAGTGAAAGCAGAAAGTATATCTCTATGAAAAATAAATACATTAATTTATGATGGCATATTTTTTGCATGCAATCCCGATTATAGTTCTGCCAAGTTGAGGACTATAAAAACATCAATGTAATTATCGATTACCAACTTTTGTTTGTATATTAAAACAATACCGGGTCAGAGTGTCCTTTGATAATACATAGTTATGTTTATCTATGATTACAATCTCACACCTAATCTGTTACAAAATTTGATTTGCAATACCTATCACCTCAACATGTCTTGTTTTGTATAACCGATAGTTAAATATGACTTCATACTTACATCAAAGTGATTTTCACAGAAATATAGTCTAGTCTTTGTAGACAGTGTCTTCAGGTCTCTTCTTGCCAGTTTTATAACTTCTCCGCGTTTTTATTCTGGTTATTTTTTACATTCAAGCATGACACACCCATGATAAAGATGACAACTTATTATTAAATATCTAAGAATATCTTATTCCTTTGCAAAATTGTTTTATTTACTAGAGCAGAGACGTCACGAGCTAAACAGCATGGTGCATAGCATGCATATAATTTTCACTTAAAAATTTAAAACGGTAGATTAGACGCCTTTTCAATAAAATTCGTAATAAAACTTAATAATCGCAATGATAACTTGAAAATTTTCGAAGTAACACAGCACGTTAGCTAGTTCTCCTAATTAGTGATACAGAACACTAATATCCTTAGGGTGGATCAGTGACGTCACGACACCGTTTAACAGATTTAAGGTATAGACGAAGAAAAAATTCTTAAAATTGAAATATAAAATTTATAATGCAATTTTATAATCAGAAATCAATATTTCTCGTTTACTTTTTACAAAATCTATCATAAATATATATATATATATATATATATATATATATATATATATTTGATTTTATTTTACATGGTATAAAATATCTTATTACTATGTTAAATATCCGTAGCTTTCGGGCATTCCACGCCAATCGCACTGAGGTTTTGTTGATGTTACTTAATAGGTGCTTTCGTATTTTTGACAAAGTATACAGAAGTTTTAATAATCTTAATTATTATTTGGATTTAACTATAATCAAGTGTCAGTCAACAATCTTGTAAATATTACAGACAAGTAATATAGGTACTACCTACATTACAAGATTACGACGACGTGCAAGAAATTGAGAAGACAACTATGTATCATTGTATATTATAATAATATCGAGATTTGAAGAGTGAACTGAAAACGAATACTACTATTAGTTATGAAACTTTTTTCGTATTCATATGTCATTTATTTATGAAAAAAAAACTATTATTTATGAATAAAATTTAATGCGGTGTATATTATTTTTCCTGGAATTAAATATGGAACAATAACTCTCTACCGAGAGCTATTGAAAGAGTGAGTGAGATCACAATTCTCTTATCGTGCGTGCATAATATCTACTAAATAAATAAATAAATAAATTTATTCACAAGAAATATGGTACAAAGATGTTCTTATAAAATAATAATGTATTACATATTTCACCAATTTTGGTATATGAAAACTTATTTACTAATTAACAAAATTACTATTATATAAATAATTAAAACTTGAATTAGTAAATGGAGGAAATTTTATTTAATTCGTTTATTGTCACCCATCGTTTTGTATCTGTTTCTTCATATTCATGTGTGCATTCACACACATTCACAAATTTTTTTAAAGTATGTGGACGGTAATTCACTTGCAGTTAAATTCCCGCCAAAACTTCATAGATAATATCAATCTATTCGAAGATCTGAAACAATATATAAAAATCTCGCACTATTTTTTTCCAGTTTTGACAACAACCAATGGATTTTGCCAGCGTTAATCATTTCATGAAAGTCACAGAGTGTACTAGACTAAGAATTTTCCGTAGATGAGCTTACTTTACAGATTGTTTTAAAATATTACTGTAAGTATAATATAATGAATGTAAGTGGCAAAAATACTTTAGCTTAACGTTAATAATGGATATGAAATCAAATAGACAAAAGAAGTGTAAACTAAATAAAACAAAGACATAAGATTTATACGACGGGGGATGTCACTAGGAAGAAAATTATATAGAGCATAAAAGTTATTCATTGTAAAATATTAATAACAAATACGCACTGAAGACATATAACTATTTAATAACTAGATTATAGCGGATTTCTCGTGAACATTTCATTGTATACAAAATTACCACCTCATTTTATATAATTATGAATACTAATATTAAATTCATGGAAATCTATAATATATAAATAAATAACTTGTAAATGTTATTATGTAGAAATCTCATTGACTTATGATTAGTTTTAATGTATTGTATGATATGGCTTCCACTTAAGGACGCTTATTAGAAATTTCTTTTAAACAGGTCAAGGTTCCAGAACTAACCTAAAGGTAACGTAAACACACAAACAACATGTATAAATTTAAAAAAAAAAGTCTGTTGCTTAATATAGAAATAAGAACTGTACTGTCATTAAAGTAATGACATTACCACGTAGAATTAATGTGAAAAGAGAATCGGCATAAAATTTGAGGGCGCTGGCGTTTTTAAATGGCACTTTTGAGTTTCCTTGTCATAATGTTGTCATAAATTCGAGTATAAGATTTTGGTCCAAGTTTGTGTATAAGATTGATCACAAATTTATGTACGCTTTAATTGTTTTGTTTTTGTAGTATAATAATTTATAAAATAAGAATTATTTTAAAATATATACAGGGTTATTTTGAAATAACCGGGCAAACTTACAAAGAAGGTTTAGAATAAGTAATATAGGTAAATGGTGAAGTAAAATTAATTAAAAAAAATCTTATACATTCTGTCCATTTTTAATCGACTTCAAAAGGGAGGAGATACTCAATACGACTCTATGTTTTTTTATGTGTTGTTACTTCAGAACTTTTTTTGGGTGAATCGATTTTGATGATTCCTATTTTTATTTGAAAGCTCAAAAGAAAATCAAGATCTGACCAGTAGTTTTTGAGTTATCCTTAATAATGCGTATTATGTTGACTTGGAATACATTGATGATGTTTTTATTTTATTTATATTGAAGTCGGTTGAACAACATTTTTAATTTAACCACTATCTTTTAAATTCAAAATGCGTAGTAATGCATCCTTTTAACTGATTTTACTTACGCACTCACACATTCATAAGGGTCGATCGGTAGACAAAAACGTTGTTGCCCATAAATCACGTTCAATTTGGGATAATTCCAAATAAAAGTAAAAGCTTTATTTACTCGTATGTTCAAAAACTGCAATAACGATATATCATTATTTATATATTATTTAGAACTTAAGTTTAAAATTTGGCTACTCTTTGGAAAATAACTCTGTATATCAATAAACTTTTCTGCCACTATGATTCTCTTTCCGCACAGATGCTAGTATAAATGTTGTTATTGACATTATTAACAGTTTATGTAGATATACAGTACTTATTTATAAGGAAATTTTACGTAAAAACCTGAAAGCTTTGAATGAAGCTTTGAATTATGTTATATTTAGTTACTTGGTTCACTGTCTGTCTTTAGAAAGTATTATAAACTCTGTATTTAAAATATAAATATTGTTGAAATAAAGTTTTGTTTTTTAAAATACTCTCCAGTTTTCCAAGCCTTTGATTCATATTCTACATCCATCAATTCTCTTCTATACCTACTATTGAACGACTTTTTGACTGAATAAAGAA